ATCTTCTAATGCTCTTACTACAAACAACCAAAATACCACATTAAATTTATACTGCCCAGTCATTCTAACAATATGCACAGTAAACACAAAGCACAGTCGTTAAAACAAACTTAAGGCAGCAAAGTGAAGCATTCAGAAAGTCACAACTGAGAACTAAGACTGGTTATGCAAGAAACCTGCAGGACTATGCATGTATTTCTACTTATTCCCTCTGTTGAAACAATTTCAGTCATGAGTACTTTGCAGTTTTGATCATGCTACAAATACTTTTCCATTTTTTTTTTTTAAGTGACAGCAAGATATGACGGTATATTAAAAAAAAAAAAGCACAGCTGAAAGACTTTCACACAGAAAGCCCAATTTTGTTAAATAAATTGTAGTGACTGGAAGCAGGAGATGAGCACCATGGGAAAACCGGTGTAAGGGGGCATATGAGATATGAAAAGCAAGGAAATATTTAAGCTGAAAAGTAAACATTAATAAGCCAATTTCTATGCTGTGTAAGGCTTTGTGAGCTCTACTAAGCTTTACCTACCGTATCTGCAGCTGTAAGGTTAATGCCCAAGCCACCAGCTCTTGTACTTAACAGGAACACAAAAATATCATTCCTGAAAAGGAAGTAGAAAAAACACTCATTTTGCACACGATGAACAAGAATTAACCACGGAAGCTAACTTTTTTATCCCCAAGAAATGATCATAGTTATTTCTCCCTCAAACACTTCAGAATGTTTTGTGCTTTTCATGGACAAGAAAAGAAAGAAAACATAGGAAAGAGCGAAAGTAGATAATATTCCAGCAGCCCTGATCTGTAAACATAAACATGCAGTTTGCAAAAGAAGCTCCTTATTCTCTATCAAAAGAAACCAGGGTTTACTTATCTTGCCTCTATGGGAAATTAAGATTTCATTTGGACAAAGAACAATTTATAATTTCAAAGAATTGATCAACATTAGGCAAAAAAAAACTTGCCCTAACAATGCTCAATTGACACAGAAAGGAAAATAGATGCTGAAACGATGTGGATGCAAGTTTTGTTCTAAATTCTGTGCCTTGCACAGAACCAAGCTTCCTGGGGAGAGTGGAGGTGAATCTTATCAGTAATAAAAACAAACTGTCAAATACACAGGTACAATAGAAAAGGACCAGGGCATGAATAAGCTTCCCGTATGAAAATTTCTTAACTCCAATCCTCATTCTACGGCTGTTTAAATCAATAATTTTGATCTCTTGGGTTCAGTTTCTGTATATGTAAAAAGAGATTAAAATGAATCATTTCAAGACAATAATGTAAGGATTCTGTTGTGACTGACTGCAGACTGTTTTGAGGATGAACTGTGCAGGCAGTGCTAACAACCAGATACTGCAAAAAGAGAAAGTGCATCTAACCCAAGCTCTTTGAGATTTGTTGCCTGGAAGTTCTGTTCTGAAACTAGAACACAAATGTGCTGGTAGTCTGAAATCTAATATGAAAATCCATTTTGAGTTATGGACAGTTGGGAGGAACTAAAACAAAACTGTCAGGTTCTATACTTGAGGCCAAAGGAGTCTGCAAGGGCACATTCACCATGAGGGTGATCCTTGGCCAGAAAGTCTCCTCAGTGTTGCAACAACAGTGGAACATGCATGTAGACAGTCACCTGAACATCCAGTTTTGAAATGCGCCTGGAAGTGCCATATAGAAAGAAATAGGATAGTGCCACAGACACTACTGCATGGCTATATATTTTCAGCACCCTGCTAAGGCATCCTGTGCAATAGTTTAGTATTAGTCATGCATTTTTCCTGGAAACATTTCTCATAAGCAAACTGCGTTTAAGAGGAACTCAAATCACATTTTAATAGGAATTCTTGTTTTGACTGGCTGACCTATCTCTCAAAGGGATTTCCTGTTGAAATGATTATTTTTCTTTAGTTGTTCTATTCATTAATAAAAATAAATTCTGTTCATGAATAAAAACATCTTTTTGACTTCTTTTACAGGAAGAAGCATCAGGATTTCAGGAGAACATCATAACCACCAAGGAACCTGTTTCTGACAACTGGAAACAGAAACAGGAAGAAAGATTCTGCAAAGGGTTCTCGCTTCAGGTATTGGACATGATCTGTTGCCAGTTCTATCACTCAGAGGAGGAACAGCCTCTTCATTGCACACAGTCACTCAGCTCTTCAAGCACTGCATGAACTAGTGGCCTGAAAGACGAGATATTGTTTCCCCTCCAGTCTCCAACCACGATACCTTGGAACTGTTCTCTGTTCTAAAATGAGTGCCCTCACCCTGCAGTAAGCAATAATGCATCATCCTTACTTCTCTGAAAGCAAAGTGACCATGTTTACAGTAAGCAATAATGCATCATCCTTCTCTGAAAGCAAAGTGACCATGTTTTTTAAAGATCCATCACCAATCAGGAAGGGTAAACTGGCTAATGGATCATACAGTCTTTGACTCAACTACTAAACCAAAGCAACATCCCTCAAGCCATATCTAAAGATCAAAAGGAAACTCAATAGCCATAAATTCAATAATAAATCATGTATCTCAGTGCAAGCAAAGCTAGACTAAAATATCTGAATTTATAATGAATAAGTAACTTCCTTTTCTGATATGGTAGTGAAAGTTGCAAGAAACCATTTTGATTTACTAAATTGAACTAGTCAGTATATCTTACTATTTAATAAAAACATTTTATCATTAATATATTAGTTTAAGGTTTTTTAATAAATCTTGCCACATTTGAGATAAAATTAACCAATTATACATGCTGAAATGGTATGGCTTGATATAATGGAATCCAGGTCAGTTTCAAAAGCTCCATCATGCCCCAGTTTTCTATTTCATCTTCAGAATGTCAGTTCTCAGAGCACACAAACATCTGGTCCCTTTCCACTAAGGTGTCTATAAGCAATAGCGTACTTGGGATGGAAAAGAAACAGAACTCAGAGTTCACTAAAATTTGCTTCTGATGCTCTGTTTCACAGATTACAAATTCCTGAATGCTACTGGATTCAACAGACACAAATACTGGTCAGCAAATCACCAACAGCAAACCTTGAATGTTTGAGATAAAGTCAATTTGAAATCATAAAGTATAACCTAAGCACAAGCATTTTATTGACTTCTATTGTACCTTAGACCAAATCTGCATGTGCACATGATTTAGCATTATTAAATGCATTACCTGTTCTGAAAATCAGCTACCATATCCCTTCGCTCAGAAATCTTCGAAGAGCCATCCAATCTCATGTAAGTATGTTTCCTGTAAACCATATACTCCTACAAAGAACACAGAGAAAAAAAATACAGTTGCTCTTGAAATTGCTCTGTCTTCATTCTTCAGGAAAAAGCTATGAAATGCAATTCACACTGATAGGAAAGAAAACCTTGAACTATCATAACTAAATAAGCTCTAAGCGTATGTAAGCAAAACTTCGTAATAATAGAAGTTTGACATTAAAACTACTCTAAATCATTTCTTAATTACTTTTTGCATTTCACACAAGCTAAGGAATACAAATTATGTCAGTTCAGCCTTTATTCATTTACAATTTTCCTTTCAGCATTTCAGAATTGGGGATGCACATATTGGACTGTGTTCAGATACATATGTATTTTTTTCCTGCAAGTAAACAAACAGGTAAAAATCACTAACTTTAACAGTTTGCCTTTACATAACCAAAACTTTGACCAAATCAAATAAAACACAGACACACAAAAAACAAGATAGACACATTTTTGTTCTCCGCTGATTTTAAACAACTTGACTAGTGGCTCTAAAAAGCCTGCAGCAACACCTGCCCAGGCTTTCCCTCACTTGTGAAGAGCCTGTGAATCTCACTGAGTACAGGAACACTTTGAAACTGGTGTATGAACACATAGCTCCTGCCAAGAGGCAGAACTGGAACCATTGCCTAGGATGCAAATCAAATGGCACCAAACAGGAATGCTGTAGGCAAAGGCTTTCTTCCATGACAGATTTTTTAATGCTGTGAAGTGCCTAGTATTTTCTGGTAACTGTGCAGCAAATCAATGATTTTTTAAATACAGAGATGGATCTCTAGGCTACCTAGATATCCTAGTTTCTTTGAGAAGACACCTTCTTAACATCTTATCACTGACATCCTTTGCTGATCTAACTCCTATTTGTTACATTAGCTGGATGTAAATCCTACTGGTGTATGCATCTCTTTCTGAGAATTTGCGACTGCACAGGAAGACAGAAAGGGAACAGATGGTGCTTTAGAAGTAAGAATTATTAAATTCATCTCGCTCCAAGCAGCAACGTTCAGCAAATCAAGGACTGATGTGGTGAGAGAAGACAAGGTGCTATCTGCACTCTATAGAAACTCCTAACAATGCCACACTCTGTTATCCTTTCCAGTTTTCCTTCACTCTTCCTCTCCCTCTTTCGTTCTGCTTCACTAATGCAGGAGAGGTAAAAAGGGCTGCCACACTATAAGGAACCTGGGGAAAAGACTGCTTACCTGAAAAGAAGCTTGAGTTTAAGTCAGAAGAATTAGGAAAATACAGATGAATAAAAAATAACAATATCAAAAAGGTCATAAGTCCCACTTGGTCTGCCTCTATGGAATATAACTCATGTCTGACAGGACTTTAGCAGAGAGAGATAGAATTTTAAAGCAGAGAAGAGCTGCTTAACCAGGCACTTAGGCCCTCATTTACTATTGCTTTATCCCATTTCCACACAAGGATAGAGTTGTCAGTTAGGCACTATGTGACCTTCTTCAGAGATCTGACTGATCCTCTTTATCACAAGAGCCTTTTCTTTCCTATTGTCTCTATCAGCATTTATTTTGATTCAATCTTTTAACATCTTGACTCACTCTTCTCTCATCTGACTACTAACCATCTCTTCATTAGCACATCTCCTAACCAAACTTCATCACAAATAGAGACATTTTCCATTCTGTCAAGTGCTTGTCATCCCAGACCTTAATTCCACTATGAAACAATTTACAAAGGAATAAACTATTCTATACTTTCAAAACTGAAATGCATGTTTTCCTTACATGAAATTAGCTTAGTAATTTGGCCTTTAATCAAACCTTCCTTCAATTCTCTGCTTACCAGGTTCTAGGCTCTGAGGCTTCAACCCTCTCCACCTGCCCATGGTCAAAAAGAAAACCTTACAGGGTTTTAACAGTGCTCCTGTGAAAGCTTTTTTTCTTTGTTTAAATATAGTTATTCAGTAACATTATTATTTTTAATATTAACAGTACACTTGCAGTTCAGAAAAAGAAACTATATTACAATTTATACTACAAAGTAGTTGGGTGTTTTGATCACTCTCAGAAACGACATGCTTTCAGCTTTAGAAAAAAATAGGACACTAAGAGCAAAGAAACTATTCAAGAATTAACATACTTGGCTCCCTAACTTTATCTGGGCCCTTGATGTACTTGATCACCGCCTATCTTTCTATTCCCTGCAAACGGTGGAGAAACAAGAAAACGCAGAACACGGGGAGGTAAAGCACCACCTAATCCATGACCATCTGGAAGGATTGAGGTCACGCCACTGTGTGCAGATTGCCTAGTTGAGACAAAAGGAAGAACTGACAATAACCACATCAAGAGGTACAAGATGACAAAACCAGCAAGCATTGTAATTGTTTTAAAAGTTTCAAAAAGTCAATGGTTAATCTTCTGGGGACACTTACACTAGACTTGTTTGAAAATTCAGCTGATGATCTTTATTAGTCAGAGGAGCCAGCAAGACACCAGAAGTATTAATGTAGGAAAAATAATGGAATGGACCCTGGCTGTGGAGCACCAGCAGAAGAAATGAGCAAGGAAGAATGACTCCATCAGGTTAATGCAGTATTAAAGTAACTACTCTTCTGGCCTCAGACACAGATGTTTTCTCAAAAAGCATAAAATGTCTTTTCCTCCCTATTTCATTATCCAAATCAAGCTCTGTGTATTTCAACACTAACAAAATTATGCATATTTTGGTAGCATATAAAACTGAGACATTTTACTGAATGTAGAATATAATTTGACCCCTCATCAGATGAATGCAATGTGTACCCTGCCGAAATCACTGGCAATTACTCTTACATACAGGAGAAAACAATCAGATCTGAAAAAAATAAATGTGACATTAGCCTAAAAAGCATGTAATACTTTGTAATACAGAGCTGCATGAAATAATAATAATGAAATTTGTTGAAACAAAATCATTTTCCTCTTTGTATTTATATCTGCTGTTCTGTAACAGCTGAATAAAGAAGCAGTTCTTAAGCTAAAGCTAAATCAAATCAACCTAGTTTTATGACTTTGTAAGCGTGTATTTTGTGCTCTCCGACCTGCATGGATTAGGCTGATATAGTAGCTGTTACACTGACACAATCAAAATACTGTTAAAAGAAACAGGACATCTTATAGTCTTTCATAGTTAAGTAGGTTAAGGGGATGAATTTTGATACTTCTGGACAGAAAAAGAAATCTGTTGCTATACAACTTTTGCAAAGATTTTCTCACAACCCGAGTCCTTACTTGACTTTCAGCTGGCTTAGTTCAGGCATCTGAAACATGGTGGGGGAGGAAGTAAAAACAGAACATGGTAGTTGACTTATTTGGGTAATAAAATTCAACAAACGAAGTTGAGCATTTAGGAGATACTATAGGAAAGACTATTTGCTCCCAAGCCTTTAAAATGGAATGCTAACAGAAAAGACAGCAGCACTAAACACTCGGCCTTATGGGCTCCATGGTGTAACGCAGGACAACAACAAACCTGCAACATGTCCAATGCCTGGCACACAAAAAGGAGGCATAGGAAGCAATGCTAGAGAAAGAACCAAGATACAGAATGGCAGCCACCCAAGCTCTCTGCTTTGCCTCATAGCAGGGAATAACAAAACAAAAAGCAGCTTACAAATGAGCTTATACAAACTGCTGGCCTTAAAATGCTCTTACAGGACATGTGATTTAGGTAGTAGAAATTACAAAAATGTATAAAAATTGAAAAGGAAACTGAACACTTTCGTAGAAGAGGAATCAATTTAGGATTACTGAATATACAGAAACCACAGCTGGCTCACAAAGTCCTTGAGTTGCATATTGCTGGAGGCTGAGGTAATAATCAGGAAATATCACCGTTCTTAAACACCTTTCCCCTAACCATCTGCTTCTGTACATCGGTGGAAGCATGACCCTCGTCTGGAATTTCTGTCTGACTTTGTATGGCAACTCTTATATTCTCACTTCAGTCAATGCATTTAGTGGGTATCCCTAATTACAATAATTTTACATCAGGTTTACTACATCCAAAGTACAGAATATTCTCTAAATATTATAGCTAAATCTGCAGCTTCAGAATTCGCCTCTGGTAGGCTACAGTTCTCCTACCTCCAGTAGGTCAATCATCCGTGTCATCTGAGAGTAGATGAGAACTCTGTGTCCTTGAGATTTCAGACGTGTCAGCAGAAGATCAAGAGCATGAAGTTTCCCACTATCCGTGATCAGACTCTCTTTGTCTAAGAGGAAAAGAGAAAAAAGCAGGTAACTAAAAAAGCCCAAACAACAGCATGTAACAAATTAACTTCTAAGTTTTGTAGGATTTCACTCCATCATAATCCTTAAGGCGATGAGCTGTGATGAAAGAAGCTACAAGATCCCCTTTCAATGATTTATATCATCACACTGCTGATGGTAACTTTTGTTAGCTGGAATGGGAACACAGGAACATACCTGCTTGGCAAAATCTCACCACAGGTTTCCATTTTCCAGCTATTTCCTCCTTCTAAGGGTTTATCCATGTCAACAACCACAACATGCCTTCATATTAATCTGGCAGTTAAAGTCTCCCTACCCCCTCCCCCCTGCAACTTTAAACATGAAATGTTGTCTTTTGGGCACTTCCTGTTAACGTTTTGCTGAGCTTTAGACCTATTCTTCATGGATTTAGTTTCAAGACCAAACCTGACACCAACACAGAGTGAAAACAATTCTCTAGGTCACTGTAAGGTAACAGCCTCTCAACAGCGCTGCCTTTACTCTTTTTACTCTTTTCTTTCCTCCATTTTTGGTTTTCTGATTGTTTTAAGAAATGTTTCTCAATGGCAATTTTTTAAGCCATTCCAAATCTTATATTTCACGTCCTCTGTGTTTCAGCACCGCTCATGAATTATTTTTCAGGAAGGAGATCTTCCTGTTTGTACATTCTGTACATAAACTTCAGTAAACAATACGTTACTGTTGAAAGAGGATGAAGAGAACTTTACTTCCAAAAATTATCTGTTGGAAAGGCCTCTGATGATTTTTTATTCCTTGGGATGCCTGAATGTAGGTCTGCAGCCAAAACGGAAAGTTGACAACTGCAGATGGTGCCGTGGCTAGTACAGAATCCAAATATTTCCAACGTGTCTAGCAGGTACCATTCTAACCATTCTCTCATTCTCTCAGAAGAGGCAGCCACGGTTTCTGTGCATCAAAACTGTTGAGCTGTCAGAACTGCTTAAAATTATTAAGAGATTATACTCGCACTGTAAACTGTGAGTGTTTTCTCCTTCGGTAAATTTAGAGCAATGAATATTGCTCTAAATTAGTACTTTATCAATTATAAAACCTAGACAAAAGAGCTCTGCTGCTCTTTCCTGGTCAGCCTATTGGGGCATTCAGTGCTCTGCTCTCCCTTTTCCACACAGATCTCATCCCACGGTGGTGCTGTTGCCTTGCCAGGGGTGAGCACCATGTACCACTGCTTGAATCACCAGCAACCACCCCAGGGAATACATCTACTACAGAGGCAAGCCAAGCAGATTCTGCAAGGCAAACTCAAGGTCACAGCTCAGGTGCACATTTGTTTTAGAGGCAACATAATGTACAATGACACACTAACCTCTAAAACGTAATATAGTCTCAATTACATGGAACTTTTTAACAATTTCAAGAATTCTTCTAAGAAAGGCCAAACCGTGAGCTTGCACAGTTAAATGATTACAGAAATAAAGTAGGGTTATTTGGTTTTAAAATACATTTGTTACACCAAAAAGTCTGCACAAAAGGAATGTTTATTCTCTTCACTAAATGGGATTTTATTCTTTAGATGATAAACCACTATGCTTTTCTTTTGTTCTGATCTGTGAGCTTGTATTTCAGAATAAATTAAATAAAAGGAGCAATGTAACATGAAAAGCCTAGATACATGTAACAAACTAATATGATTATTAACCAAAAGCCATCTGAATGGAAGGAGAAAGAGACAACAAGCAGGGCCTGTTCAAAAGTCAATGCAGACTGACTCAGATAAACATACCAGCAAGTTTCCAAAAGCAAGACCCTTCCACTTTTCTCATATACTCTTTTTGTAAGCATGAATAGGTAAAACAAAAATTTGGTAACTGGAAATGATGCGTGTCCTTTGCTGCTCAACCTCCACTGTATAAGTATCTATTTTTAAAAAGCAGTATAATTCAAATTACAACCAAAGGACGACTTTGCAGACAGTTTTACAGCTCTGAAAGTTAGCAATTGGTTAACAATTTAGTTTATCAGATATGTTGGCATAACAGAATTTCTAAGAAAATTTTTGAGGAAAACAAAACAGAACTATCAAAAAAGATTTATCACTACCAGAAGAGAAAAGCATTCAGTGCTAGACTGGCATCTTTAAGTATGCTCTCTTGACACTGATGTGTTTTCCAAGCTCAAAAGCTTTTATGTGCTTAAAGTCTGCCACCTAGTGCTTAAAAATGACCAATTCCATAAACCTCTTAAAAATATATTTATTCAAGCTGTCTTCAGAAAACAGGACATTTAGTAGGGGAAGGAGAGAAGAGGGGAAAAAAATAGCACCTTCCATCTTCAGTTTCTCTCACTGCTACCTCCCTTTTACCATGGGAGAAAAAGAACTTGTTTGATTTTAAATTACACTTCAAAAAATTGCAATTTTACATTCTTTTTTATTTACCACTCAACAATTCCAATGACAATGTCTTTTGATTTTCATTTTAATAGTATCATCAAAGGAATATCATTTTAACCAAAAACTTTCAGCAAGTCGTGAGATACAGATCCTGGGCTGCAAGGTAAGTTCTCCCTGGGATGTTATCACTGGGTTCTTCTGCAGTACAGCATGCAAAAAATGTGAAACAACCAGAGCAAAGAGCCAGGAGCTGTAAAATCAACATTGTACTGCTTCAGTCTGGGGAGGGAAGGAAAGAAAAAAAAAAAAAAAAAAAAAAAAAAGCCCTGCCTCCAGGCACAGAGTGAGGGATATGGACATAAATTACCTACAAGGGGATACTCCGGGATACTATGGCCTGGGAAAAATAGTCACAAGTGATTATGACTCAAAATAACCCCAGCTGGGAGCTCTGGCCCATGACTGGAGCTGGGATTGGGGATCTCTGGAGAATGCGAGAAAGCGCCTCTGGACATGCAAAAAGCCGAGGGAAGGGAGATAAAGAGCGGGAGCAGCTGAGAGCCCCGCTCCCCTCCCGGCCGCCCGCAGCACAATGGGGTCAGTGAGGAGCTAACCGGCTCTCACAGTAAACAGCCAGTGAGGCCGGTGCTTTTTATCGATGCTAAAAGGACTCAGACGCTTCCTGCCATTTAATCCAGGACCATTTTTCTTTCAAAGAACAGGAAAAGCCTCAAGAGATTCCCACAGTGATCGTAAGCGAGCCTGCTGCCAGGGGACTGGGAGCACCGAGTCTGAGGAGAGATAGACCTGGGTTAAGAGAGAGACGTTTCCCCTTTGCTCCTGTCACCTCTTCACCACACACCTTCACACCTACAGCTTCATTTTACACTTGCTGGACTGCAGCCTGGTAAACGGCTTCTTCCATGGCTTTCTGCAGTGCGCTGTGCCTGCTTCTGCACGTATAAACACAGCTGTGCTGCTGTGCCATCAGCCCTCTCCCCTCAGAATAGGTTTAGGCTGGAATACTGCTTCCCACCTAAATTAAAACACAGCTGTATCAATCTACTTCTGTATCTCTCTTAATTCCAAAGATCCCAAATTCTACCAGCTTTTACAGCACTCATCCCAACCATACTTTCAGTCAACTTCTGCACTGAGCTCTGGCAGTTTATCTTTCCCTGCACCTATTCACTCATCCCTGTAAGTTTCTTGCAAGCCATCTTTACTCCTTTATAAATTTTTTGCCGATAACACAATCATCAGCCTAAAACTGAAAAGTGTTTTGTTGAGATTTTACCCCTCTCTCTACTCTAATGCCAGCCATAAATATTCCCAATTTTCCTCATTTCTCCCTCTATGCTTTCTATTTTCAGTACCTCCCTGTAGTAATCCATCTTCTGTTTCCAAATAATTGATAAATTACCCAATGTGCTCCTAAAGAAAGAACACTGTATAGAATCATCAAATATCATTAAACATTAATCTAGCACAAGCTCAGCAAAAACAGTTCCTCTTCAAATGACTCCAAATACTTGAGGTATCTTCTCAAACCGGACTACAGCAAGCAAAAGGCCATTTTCCTTTTACTGTGTTCACTTCCCCCGCCAAACATCCTTGACCCAAAAGGCTCTGGGAATAACTTAGGATCTGGCAGTGTAAGCTGTTTTTCCTCTTGGCTATCTCTCAGATCTCTAGTGCTTTATGCAGAACTCAGTTCACTGCTTGGGACCATCTTCTGACAAAACTAGAGTGCATCCAGACCACGTAAGTCATTGCAGTATTGGGAACCAAATTCTAACTGATCTTGGATTACTTTAGTCAAATTCCAAGGGAAAAGAAACGAAGTGTGTTTTCTTTACAATTACACTGGTATCTTTTACTGCTTTACCAAGAAATATGAATAAGTCTTTTTTCCAGCTGAAATTCAGTAAATCCCTTATGCCTTATTTTCCAAGCCAATTTCCCTTGAGCCCCAAGCCCTTCTTTCCAAGGACTGTAACAAGTAGTGCTTACCCTTCCACTAGGAAGACCAACAGAAGAACTCTTAGGTCACTACCAAGGTTCTTCAGAAAAAGGAGATTGTTAATTTTATTGAAATCCCTCCCTCTCCAACCTAACAGTAGTATTCTTTTAGTAAGTAAGACCACCTCCTTACAGTCATTTTGAGAGCTAACCGCTACAGACAGAATCATAGAATTACAGAATTCTTAAGGTTGGAAGGGACCCCCAGAGATCATCCAGCCCAACCTCCAAGGTGGTAAACATTTTTATCAGACTTGATCAGTCTTCATACACAGCTTTACCCTAGACAGCAAAGAGTATGAAGTCACAGCATATTTTAAGACAGAGTTAATTTTCACTCATGAAGTAAAAGACTGCTCCCCAAACACTGTGACCACCAAAGAGCAGATGTCCTTATCTAACAAACTATAAGCTTACCTGGTATCCTGATAAAAGACCAGCCATTCTGAGGTGTGATTCCCAGCAGCCCTCCTGGACACTCGGGGAAGAAGCGGGAGCACTGCTTCACCCAGTCAGCGGCTAGTTCGGGGGCTCCGTGGAGCACACACTGCTTTGCTTCTAGGCTTCCTCCTTCCTTTAGTGCCCTGCGCTCATATTCTGCACTTCGATCATTGCAATAGAATTCCAGCGGCACAGCAGTTACCTACAAATTAAATAACAATCAATACTCTTGTTCATAAACTCTCTTTAAACCTCATTCCCCAAATCCTCAACTCAATAACTTTCCCCAAAGTTCAAATTTTAAAAGCTAAATCATTACTGACATGTACAAATGGAAAACAATCACAGACTGAATTAAAATAAGAAAAGCTGTAATACTTCAGCATCGCACAAAAAAGCCCTATGAATGATCAGTTGTGGACTTCTTTCCTTTGATAAACAGTGCCTTGTGTCAACTGCCATGCAACGGATGGCAAAGCTGAAAGTAAAGAATGTTATCTTTGCTGTGCACGTCATTTTGCCCAGACTTGTTTTTTTAATTTCTGCCTTTCACAATCAGTCTTTACCAAGCAAAAATGAGATTTACAAATTGTCCTTGGCAAAAACTCATGGTATAATTCAAAATTAGGAAGACGCATAAGCTAGGAAAAAAAAAGAAAGGGCAATAGTCACAGCCCGCAGGAGCACACTTCTGAGCAGTGACGCTGACCTGGACAGAAGTGGGCCCCAGAAACAGGGCCAGTGAGCACAGGATCATCTCCTGTTTCTTGAAACCGTTCTACAAATTCCTCGCCCCATTACCTACTTAATTACTTACAACCCAGCTACACAGGCTAGTGTTGCAAACACAGGAAATCTGATTTTATGCCATATGAGCTATCTTGGAACATTTCCATCACTTTTTTTTTTCCAAGCCTGGACAGACAGTAGAAGGTACATGTTAGCCAAACAGCTGTATGCCCAGAGGTCTGTGAAGTCCCTGAGTAAAGAGTCTGTTCCAGCTGACAAGGCTGCCCTTTGTACACTATATAGTTTTCTCTTATCTCTCCCTTACCAGGTAACAGGCAACTTCAAGATGCCATCCTGTGCTACAGATAACTGCAGAGAGCACACAGATTTTGATGACTGGCCAATGAAGAGCAAAGCAGCAAGATGAACATAGGAAGTCTCTCCTCACAGATGCATCTCACCAGGAGAGACAAGGAATGCTGCGCTACATGACGTGATGTGCGCTGCTCTTGTACTAGAGGGACAGGGTTGGAGCTTAAAAACAGATCTGTAGGCACAACGATCTCTGAAATTCTTCCATTCTCTCCAACCCACTGGAATAATGAAAACCAAAAAGGGAAACAGACAAAAGCTCTGACATATCAGGGCAGTCTATTCTCCAGGGCTCATCTTAAGATCCTTCACCAAGAGTTAAACCATACAGCCCAAAGCAAATGGAACAATTACAGCACTTTCACTCGCACACACATATACAATTCACTGTGTAACACAAAATTCTTTACAATTAAAGGCAGACTGCCAACTTCTCCCTATCTTTTCTGAATATAGGTCTGCTTTGGGCTAGAGTTCTGGGGAGGCATTTACAAAAGCTATTTATAATCCAGTTCGCAAAAGATAGTAGAAACTTTCACATACTATCAAGAGACCTAGAGATTTGTTGTAAACTCACTTAAATTAAAAAACAAAACTATAGTTTAGTATTAAATTTAAGTATAGTAATACTTAAAACAGAGAAAAGTTAGGAATTTGCAATGCTTTGTTTGTAGCTTTTTTCACTAATAAAAAAGCAAATATATCACTTCTTTACAAGCCACAGTTTCTGTACTTCAGAAGTAGAATTTAAAAGATTATTATCCATGTATATTCATGTATGTTAGAAGCATTATCATGAAACCTAGCAGTCTGGAGGATGAACACATGAACTAAAGGAATACTAAAAATAAAGCAAAAAATAAAATAGGAACACAGATGAAAACAACTTGCTGAAATTTTCCCATTTTAAAAAAGGGTGTAGAGCTGCACAGTGAGAAATATAAGAGAAGTCTGTAGACTTGGATGGTGAACAGCAACAGCTGAGTTTCTGGAGAATTAGAAAGGTGTGGGAATTTGATAATGGGACAGTTAAAACACTAAAGACAGAGAAAACATTATCTGTGTATTGCAGCTGAAAAAATTCTACGTTTTTGTTATTTTTAAGCCAAACCGGCTTACAGGTCTATATGCAGTGTCATGCGGAATTCTGCAAAGTGAAAGGGACCAGAATAAATAAGATTTTTTTATACATGTGCACTACTTACTCCAACTTACTACACGTTAGGGTTCATGCTATCTTGCACTGCCATCTGCAGTCAAAGCACAGGACTGAGTCCTGAAGAGGCTTCTGCAGAAGCGGATAGGGCTTCTCACAATTCAAAAGTTCAGATCTTGCTGGCTGAAGGACTGATGTCCAATGGAAACCATTGCAGCCATTTGTATTGTTTCTTTTAAGGGACACTACTAACCCTCAGACTTCTGTTCATGTTTCCATACTAGACAGACAGGAACAAACACTGACAGCCATGCACAATCAGTTACACTTATTGCCAGGACATCCAGGAGTGATAGCCATTACACACAAAGCAGAGCAAACTAATAACTAATACAGAAATGTAGCTAATCTAATAAAAACAACATGGAGATTTGTATACTGGGAGCTTTATAAGAAAAATAAAATCACATTGCAAAATTCTACAAGCAATGTTTCAGCAATGCTTTACCTAAAGGAAGACCTATTAGAAGACAGTCCTGAGATGAATGCTGTGTGTGCTTCAGAATAACCTCTCTGTTAGCAGGAACAAATCTTGCCACACAGAAAACGCACCTGGGTAACAGTGACTAACATCTGAGACCATGACCATCTTTACTGCAAGCTTTTGGGGGGTTTTGCTCGTTTGTTTGTTTTTAAAATGCACACATACACACATACTTCTAAGGTAAAGCTCTACGTCTTTTATACCCTCTTACAGGGGAAAAATAACATAACAGACAAAAATTTTCCATTCAAGCTGGTTCTCCTCTGTTTATTTTTTACCCAAGAAAGAGCGTTTTTTGTCACGCTTTTCTTTTGTGTGTATGACGTTTTACTTGTGACAAAATGTATGAGAGACCTAAGTGCTAACCCTCATGTATTTCAATCCATTATTTTCGAATAGACTGAATAACAGTGTCACAGTTCATGAACACATTTGAAAGAAAAAAAAAAAGTGTTAATACATTCACATACCCCCTTTCCTTCAATTCTGTGACTTAGAATATTTTTTTTCCTTGCATTTAGGTCCATGCAAAATTAACCCTTTAAACATTGTATGTTGTCCAGAGGCAATTTGCATTGCAATTGTGACACTGGGATCTATCTGCTAAACTAAAATGAATTGAATTAATCAGCTTTCTAATGAAAATACAAGATCCATCTTCCAAGTTTATTTTTTAGACACTGAAGCCTGTATTTCTTCAGAAAAAAATGCCAGCAAATGGATACAAAGAAAAAAAAACTGTACTGAAATCCCTCATTACCACCAATCCTCCTTGCCTCTCACCTCCATTTTCCCAGAGCTGCCACATGAAAAAAATCACAGTCCTATTCCATCATTTGCTCCATTACCTTCCCAAAATCCTCACAAGTCAAACAACAACAGAAGGCTACACTTTCTGGAAACACTAGAAACATATGTGCTCTTTCTGCTGCTTCAGGTCTCATACCTTCCTGCCAAGAGCTTCCAGCAAGCATAAAATTAAGTATTTCTATTCCTAGAAACAAAAAACATGTCTCCACTTAATCATTTTTATACATCAGCCAAGCCAGAACAAACACCTTTACTAGAATAAAAATCAGACATGACCTCCCTTCTCCTTTCCCTCACTACCACCCAAGCCTCTTCGCTCAAGTCCCTTCTGACTTTCTAAAGCAGAGGAAGTATTTGACATATCCTCCTGAGCAGCGCAACTCTAGGCACAGAGAGTCCCAGGGTAAGGGGATCCGAAGGAGCAGGGGCATCATGTTAACTTTCAGAATAACTCCTAACTCCTTAACAGACAGTATGTTGAGATGGGGAGATGATATGCTATTCCTATATATATGCTATTCCTATACATACGCTGTTGAAGGAGCATCATAGAGGCGCTATCTGCCATCCTCCCTTCTCCAAAGGCCAACGTGCCATTGCCGACACAGTTGCATTAGAACAGGCCTACACAAGTAACATCAACACTGACTAAAGAATAGAATATCTGGGTGGCCTGATAATAAAAGTCTACCATTAGCCTATTTTGGTATCACTATTACTAATATGACTGCTCTTGAAAGAATGGGGATTTTATTGGCCTGCTTTGGTGCTTCAAAGCAACTGCAAGCAGACGTCCTCATTCTTAGTCCCACTGATGCCAAGTTTTCACTATATTTCAGGTAGGATTTTTCCCCAAGAGCAGATGATTAACTGGGACTCTGAAAATTTTCATAAATATAAAATCAATTATTCCTTGCAAGAGAATGAAAGTTTTTTCATATTTATTGGAAAATAAAGCAATGCAAGACAAGTCTATCGTATTAGTTATTGTTTGTAGCTTTGCAATTTCTCATTTAGATTTCTTCATCTCCAATTACTAAGCTGAAAACAACAAAGGACTACACAGCAAAGAAAAAAAAAGCAAAACCAAAAATATTCAAGATGAATAAATTGACTATGCACTATCTGCTTGGTGATGCACAGCTTCAGCTTTTTTGTACTTAACAGGGATAAGGATGTGCCTAGCAGGATTTTACCTCTGTATTTTACCAGCATTCTACAGAAATGGTATGTTTATCTTACTTTTAGCTGCTTCCTCAAAACTGAACATCCAGACAACTACGAGAAACAATATTCAATAGTTTACCTTTTGCCAAAAGCCTGGGTCAGAACCTCCTCTGTACAAAAGGCTGTTCTGCAGATGGAAACTCTCCATAGGTCTGCTTATCTAGTCCGAGGTCACATATGGCAGATTCAAGCCCAGATTTGAATCATGGGAACATTTTGCCCAACTTCACCAAGATGTAGTAAAGCAAAATGAAAACAACAGCCATACACTTGTGAAGGTGCCTTCTGTCAGTCCAACAAATTTCAGCTAAAGTAATTTCAGAATTCAGTTACTAGTGAATAGACAACCCAAAGCAGTGCCACCTAATAGTGAGAAAATTTAGAAAACGCCAGCTCAAATAATCCTCACATAGTGGAATTTGATGTTTCCTTTTTGGAGCACAAGCTGACACAATGACAGGGCTTGAATGTTCTTCAAAAAAGCAATCCTCCTCAGCTTGGTTTGTCAACACGCCTGCTAAAAAACATCCCCATCCTATTTACATACCTTACCTACATCCTCTTCAGATTACAGGTGAACGATCTGTTTGGCCATCCGTTCTATAATTTTACAGCTTTTGGTACTATGAGAGAAAGTGAAATCTAGATATCTCCAAATTACTCATGTTGGGAGCATCTTACTACCACTTCCCTTTTCCCATCAATACACATCACAGCCATTTCCCCTATGACAAAAAGCTCTATAGAATACAGTAGCAAAAGGATATCCTTACGACATTTTAACCCAATCAAAAGAAAGTAGTAGATCATTCTGTTCCTTGGACACAATTCTAACAGAAGATTTAAAATACAATAGAAAACATATAATTTACAGCTTAACTTGGACTTACCCGTGGACTGGCTATGCACAGGAAGGATGGCAGCTCAGTCACCTGGCAGCACCGTACACATGAGGTAGCTGATCTCCTTCGGTGTATGACATGATCTGAATGGCCAGTAACTGCCTTGCAGTAGCTACTGAACACGAAGTTCTAAAAACAAAATTAGAAGTTATTATGTTAAAAGCTATCATGAAGTTAATATGCCCATGAAGAGTAAATCTTATGAAATCATACAACCATTCATGTGAAAAAATGACAATGAACATTCACCAAATATTTCCCTTGGAAAGAGGAAACTCTATACATCATCTGCAGTGAAACTGTACAGGATCTTTGTCTAATTATCAGAATAGTCAAATTTTGAAATGGTTGAAAACAGCACAGCCAACAGTCACATTTAGCCTTTATGCTCAGCTGGAACAGGAAACAAGTTTTTCCTTCTTCAAACCTTCTGATCTTAGCTTTTACGATGAAGAGAGTACATGAACATCTATTAGGTCTACTCTCACACAGCTTTCAAGATACTCCTTTATCTATTCTGCATGGGAATAAAAAAGTGAATTTTGGAATATTTGTGCTAGCTATTTCCGTGCTAGTTCACACTCCTCCTCAAGCACATTTAGCCACATGTATAACCAGAGAGCACTTCAACAGACACAAGCCTAAAAGATACTCTGCATTTTCTCATGGAGGGAATCTGAGAACATAAAAGCCTGCATCAGAGGGCCTGGGATTCAGCGGCTGGGAGGAAAGATGGGAAAGTGAGTGCCAAAGTGGAAGTGAGCTGTAAGTGGAGCAAGCGGCAAGACTGACTCAAAGCAACTCCTTTATCTTAAAAGGCCCCCCCCAAGGCTCATAACTTGAGGATATAGTTGATCTTATGGTGAACAATCAGTGTTGCGTGCAGTGACATGAGGTTTCCAGTTAAGTCTGTTGACGGCAAGGGTTGGCATACTGATTGTAGCCTGGTTGTTAAAGAGGTTTGTTAACTTTATTTCCTGGAAAGTGAGGCCACAGGAGATAGATAAGAGAGGAATTCCACTTTCTTATAGGCTATTATTCAGAAACAATTCACTAACAAACGGTAGTTTCAAATCTATCAAAGGAATGCAGCTCTACTATTTATCTCTCTTTTGGAAGCCAATATCAAAGAATCATCAAAGATGGCTTCAGCCCAATTAGAAGTATACAGGAAAAAAAGTAGGAAAAAAAAAAAAAGAAACATTATTTTGTATATACACAGTATTAGAAGGCATTCTTGTACATGGGCATTAGTCTAGTTCTCAGCTCCATGCTTTCTGTGCACAAATCATGAGCAAGTCGCATGAGAAGTACCCCTCTGAAATCCACAACATATACAACCATTAACAATCCATGAACAGTGCAGAGAACAGATGTAAGAGGGACAGCAGAGACTGGCTTTCCATCAGTCATCCACATGGAAAAGACTGAGTGAGATTATAGAGCAGAAAACAGACACAGCTCTAAAATGGATCATGTACTTCAGTACAACAACTTTAGTACAGAAACACAAGAAGAGGATATTAAAAAGCAATCATGTACACATCCATTGCAAAGATGCAATCCAAATAGTGCTGAAAGTGACGGCCATATTGCAAATAGGGCTGCAAAGAAATACAGCTAAGGGGCACCAGCAGTCCCAAGTTCATTAACACTTCTAACTTCTTGTAGAGAGAAAACACGGAAAGTGAAGGAGAGAACAGGAGAAAACTGATCTCAGCAGACCAGTTTTTATATGCATACAAATAAACACTAATGCTGTGGAGATGCGGAACACAGGAGATGAATGGAATTCACTCGGCAAGAATTTTCTGTGATGATATGAAGAAATTCATGATATCTTCAGAGAGATATTACCTTAATTTCAGGAAGATACATTAAAAGAATGGATTTTTTTGTTTGTTTACAGACTTATTTTTATAGTTTGTCTCTCACATCAGAAACACTGGTCCGAAGAGTTAAGAAAAGCCTTTCCAAATTTATACCATTTCCTTTTTCCTCTGTTTTTTTCCCCTCCCCACTCCTATATGTTACTATCTTACAAAACTGTAGATGAAGACTCAGGAAATTTCATATGAGAAATTTCTCAAAGAAAGTGCCCCTGTTTTAACTCAGAATAATAGGTGCTGTTAAAAGACAAGGGCAGCTCAGTTTCAACTATTCTCTTCACTTTGCTTTTTTTTGGTTTGTTTTTAGATGAGATGTCCTAAATGTAGACAAATCCTGCAAACATATCGTATTTTAAAGTGACTTCAAGTAGTAACTTTGTCTGTCATGGAGATTTGAATAAAAGTTCTGAAAGACTCCTTCAGATTTACTAGGGTTATCACAAGCATGCTGTACTGCATACACTGTTGAACTTTGCTCCTCAGGAGGCTCTTTTCTAATGTAGGAGCCACTAGTTACACAAGTTAAAACACTCACAGCACTAGGGCCGCCAGAGACACAAGTACTGGCTTCCTGAGAAGCAGAGATAGTTTGGAGAAACCAAATATATATTCAGGTCTTTCCGGATTGTAGCACAGGTGGGATTATAGTCCTTCCATAAGCTTTTCATTCTGCTATAATTATTAAAAGTTGGGCATGCGTATGCCACATTTCACATGTAGCATATATAATGCAAATTGATCTTTTGTTCTTCAAGAAAAGATATCATTTTTCATTTCATTATTTATACAAGCTAATCCAGTCTGTATAAAGACTTGCATATGTAGATTTGCATATAGATTGCATGTATCTGTATACAGATCGGTATGTAGACGATTTGCATATGCATATGATTTCTACCTTCCTCTAAGCACATACATGTAGAAGATTTGCATATGCAGATTTCCTTTCTACATATGCAAACATGATTTCTACCTTCCTCTAAGCACATACAACTGTGCTCATGATTACACCGCCTTCTATTTCTTTACTGCTAGGCTGCAACATTTATAAGAACACAAAAGTTCCCTTAGACCATAAAAAGGACCAGTATAGTTTACAGCTACAGTATAGTTTCAAGGATAAGAATTACACAGTCAGTACACAAAAGGCCAAATATAAATTCAGAAAAATTACTGTGGGCACATCAATGCACAGTAGCATTTTACCAAGTGAGATATGGAGGCAGGCAGTACTTAAAACAGCAGCACAGCCAGAGTTAAGCAGCCCAACAGAGTTAGCACACTCAGTTGGCTTGCTCTTTGTTTCATAACTAGGACTCCTTTGCTGGCTTTACTGTTGACGCTGCAAAACATGACACCAAGCCCAAGGTTGGTTTCCTACTGCTTACGCATCTTCAATTTCAACTTCTTCTACATGCTATTGAGTTGAATTCTGGCTATCTCCTTTCCCTTTCTACACTCATGGCAGAAGCAATGATCTTTAAAGAAATTTGGCTTACCCAAGCAAGATCTCACTGCTTCAAAAAGATTTTTTCACTGCATATATGACAACTGCCACTTAAAGAACATTTTCAGCTGTATTCTCTGTATGCTTGCCATTTTGTGAACTTACTTTCCAGTGAAACAAACTGAAGAAGCTATGGTTCAGCACATGAGATTAACAGCAATTTAGTCATGAAAAGACAAAACATCACCGCCTATACACATGGAAAAGTTTATGGAAAATAACCTTGTACTACACAGATGAACGTATCTGGAATCTATCTGCCAGCAACAAAAGCAAATTTCAGAGTAGAAAGACACCACTGACAATGCTCATCTACCAACTCTGAAACACTACGAGACTGAAGTGTGCTTATCCCAGTTGCTGCATCAATACTTAAGTTAAAAATGAGGTGGCTTCAATCAATCAGAAAACAACAGAACCCACAGTTCTCCTATTTTTATTACATATCTTAAGCTCATATGCTTAAGAACCCATCCATGACAAATCGTAAGTCTAGTTCTGTTGCACCAGTATTGAGATTTCTAATCCAACTAATCTATTTATTGTACAGCAAGTTTTACAACGAACCATTACATAGTAGGCCTATTTTTCTGCTTAGTAATCTGAACTTTGTGTTTCTAATACAGCAGACAAGAGAGCACACTGGTGAAGTCAGCCTGTTTCCAAGTTTGTGTGTTCTGCTTTTTTCTCTCTCATGAGGATTTGCTAATGCCTGCACATCACAAAAATGCTGCTTACCTGCAGCGAAGTGCAGCTGTGCAAGTTGGGAAAAGAGAGTGGTAAATTTACATCAAGCAAGAAATCTTTGTTTCTCAGATAACGTGACCCCTGTTGGTTCTCCCCTTCTGTGTCCACCCAGGAGCGCAAGTGATGGAGCCTGTAGGATGCTTTCAGAGACAGGAAAAGAGCTAACCACCTGAAGAACAAACAAACAAACAAACAAACAAGAAAAAAAAATAGACACATCTGTCAACTTCTTTGTGAAATAGAAAGGCTTTAATATATTTAGCAGCACAGTTCCACTTGACATTTGTTTTTTTTCAGAATTTCTAGCTTACAGTGCCCTGACCTGAGGGAAGTGATTTTTTCAGACATTTTCCAATTATATTGGCTCCTACTTTTTTTTTTTTTTTTTTTTTTTTCCCTAAAGCGGCTTAATTCTTAATGATGAAATCAGAATACACTTCAAAACACTTCAGAAGTGCAGGATTCACTTCAAGGGGGTGAAGCACTTCAAGGTCAAGCCTGAATCAGCCGCTACTACCTATCCCTGCACTCCAATTTCTCCGCAAATTGCTCCGTACATAAATTATTCACTATAACTTGCAGGATGAATGCAGAATATATCTCAAGTATCGTTCATATAGATCAAGAGAAAATTGTATTACGTTAGTGAAACACAGAGAAACAGTCCTGCAACAAAAATAACTGTAACCATGAAAGAATTTGACACTTAAAAAGCCCTAAGAGCACGCTTACTTATTAATAAGGTTTGCTTTTAAGATTAAATTACTTACAGTTACTATCTAACATCAGAGAGTATTTTACTTAAATAGATCACTTCCTTTTCCAAGATAAGGCACTTTACAGCATTAAATCATTCACCATCCCAAGCCCATGTTTTAGAACTCCATTTCACATTGTAAATGGAATATGTGGAAATGCAACAATATGGCTTAGAGATGAATTTTGTGTGTGATGATGCCAAAAACCTACAATGCGCTCCAGAGTAAACTCTTCTCTCACCTTTTGATTGTCTTAGGCATTTTTAATGATGTAAAATCTTTGTAATGCAGTTTTTTTCTTGACAGAGGCATAAAAACTATAACAGAGACCTATACCTGGAAGAACACTCTAGATGTTATTATGACATTAAATAACGACAGATAAGTAATAAATACTAAGAGAGGCAGAAAAAATATTTACGGAGATGCTTCTAATCTACTATCGCTAGTACTTTTACTTTAATCACTAAAAGGTGGGTAGCAGAGGTGGGGGAAGGTCCTCACCTGGCTAAATGTCCCTGATGCATAAGGTTTGCCATTTCTGCTGGAGACATGTCAATAAACCGGAGGAAAGAAAAACAGCTTTCTTCATTGTTACCTATGTCACAGAAATACTAAAGTTAAGGCAGACATTTCAGACACTCATACCTGAAAACATGAGAAAACCTGAAAAACACTGAAAAAACTGAGCATACTTCACAAACTCTGGTAAATTCTATTCAAGAGGCACAGATCCTCTAACATAAATCTAAGGGAAGAAAATGGAGGTCCTAATTTAACCATGACTTTTTAGAAATACTGAAAAATTCATCTTAATTGCTGTTCCCTGACTCTAAGCTTCAAATGAATTACCAGGCTGTTCAATTTCCAATCTGGGCAAGAGAAGGACATTGACAAAGAAAGACAGACGTGTTCTAGGCCAGAAAAACAAAAGCATATAGTTTATTTGACCTGCCAGGAATCAATGGGCAGTGTGCCTGTTTGGTAATCAGAACATGCATCTCCCAGACATCCTGGCAGGGCACACATACATGAAAGGAGCCTGCCAAAAATGGGCACTCTCACCCAGCCAGGAGACACTGGGATTGGGAGGGCAGTAAGAATACTGTAAAAGGGCGAAAGACATAATAAAAATGGCAAGGATTATGGAAGGAGGGGAGCAGGAAAGGTAGCTTGGACTGTTAATCAAGAGAGCACTAGGTATCCTGAATATCACTCATGCCTCTTTATTTAACAGCTGCACAAAAAGAAAAACTAAACACCCCAAATTAATGATTCCCCCAAATATTTTCCCTTTAGGGTATGTCAAAGAGAGTTCCCCTCCAAAAAGCCAGTTAATGAATATCGAAACAAATGCAGACCACAGTAATCAGCGAGAGCATTACAGACAAGTGCAGACTCCTGCTACTGCATGTTGGTTATTCTTACTCAATGAGAATTTTGTGTAGGTGAACCTGCCCAGGCTAACAGGTTTCAGCATAACAATGCAGCCATTATAGCCTTGTGCCTTTTTTCCCAAAATTTTCCCTACTCCAGCACCTGAGCAATCTGAGTTGCTCTTTTATTGAGCAAATTCTATCTATAATGTTAAATTTTATTTGTAAGTATAAATAGATTTTTCTCATTAATTATATCCATGGTCATTTTAATTCTCCTCCTTTTTACTTGAAAGAGACATCAGGAGTTTAGCATGCAGTACACACTGAACTAAATTAATCGAGGATTTCCATACACTGAATCTGTGAAAAAAAAAAGTAAGAATATAAAAGCATCATTATTTCTTTAAAGCAGGTTAAAACATGGCAGGAGGAATAGATTAATCAGTGAATAAACAGGTCTCCTACAGAATATTCTTCTACCATCCTTCCCATACTGGAAAGACAAAATATATGTGATGACTTCCCATCAACAAAGGATAGTATCACATACAAATGTGCAACCCAAGTGATTTCTCCAAACTCTAAACCTACCCTTTCTATGGAAGAGAGACTGCTGGATGTGGTCTGGTGCAAATGGGGAAAGTAAAACCTGTAACCACCTGAAAGCAAAACAAACAAAACCTCTAAGAAAATGCTAATGAAGACAATGTTCAAACACATAGACAGAAAAAACATTGTGATGCCCCCAAAGCAGGACAACAGTCCAGTTCCCAATGATCAGCAACTCAACTCCCCAGATATCTGGAACTGCAAAGTATCTGGAACTGCATAGTAGTCGACAAAAAACATCTGTCCAGATGCACTGTACCATTATTCATTTTAAACTGGAACACACCACTGTTCTAGAACTGCATTTTATGTTGTAAACCAGTTAGTTTTATCTTCAAAAATGATTTTCTTACAGCCTGCAATAGAATTTCTCATAACCGAGGGCAAAACTGATTAATCAGGAACTGCCACAAACAAGGAAAACGGCAGACTGCACTCAGGCTGCTTTTATTCATCCAAGGTAAGCATTACAAGCTCCCAAGGCAGCAGTAGGTGCTCACACTATTCATATCACAACGAAGACATACTGATAGCTTCCTTAAACATGAAAAGCCACTGAAGGGAAACCATTTTTTTTTAAAGAATTCTACTGAAGCTTAATTCTATTACACATTACCAGCAACAAATTTAAATTCTTTCTCCTTTTCCTGACTTTCCCTTTCAACCAAAGGGATATTTGATTACCAGGATTCCACTAAGAAAGAGCATCAGATATCAGACACTTACCAGCTGAATAAACGAAAAGAAACTAGGAATGCATTGCTTGACCCACGCTATTTAAGAGCATCAAGTAAGGAGGTTAATTAACACTTACAAAGCTAAAATAAGTCTAAGTAATACTAAAAATGCTAAGCTGGAGAGGAAGTTGAGTTGGCTTGCCTGTCTCGTGAGTGGTTAAAGACCCTGATCAGTCCATGACGGTAGATGAACTTTGAAATCTGATATGGCTTTAGGGAGATGTGAAATGGAGACCAGGTTTCTTGTCGTTCAAACAGCTCTGGGTGATTACACACCTGTAAGAAAGGCAGCATGTAAACCACTGGGGAGGAACAAATCTAGCCCAATGCCGTATTCATATCCCAAAGTAACTGAGACTACTGATCACTCGAATTCCAGTATTGTTTAGTACTACATAGCTATTTTAGCATATCCATTCAAGTTTGAATACTGCATCATTACCTTTTCCTATATACATCATCCCTACTGCGCTCTTACTCACAGGTGAATGCTCTCCCTAGCAATCAATTTGTAGCTAACCCATTTAGCAGAAGCATGATTTGGCAAAAGCTCTTCTACGCAAACATTGCATATACTCCATCAAAACACAGATGAACTGCGTAGAAATTTGCTTACCAATGCCAGAAACATTTTTTCAGATCGTGTTTTCCAGAAGTCACATTTTAGTTCTGAACTAATGATTGATTATACATAGGAAGGAAAGAAGAGAAACAAAGACAAAATATTCTTACCTTCCTGAACTGCATGACTAGATTCATAAGACTACTAGTGGTAGTCTGTGCTTGCTGAGTAGTGCCCATTGAGGACTGCAACAGGTCATCAATAGAGATTTTGTTCTTCAGAGCTTGGTACAGCAGCTTCTGTCGACTTGTCTGCTGGCAGTACATAAGGATTTCAATCTGGAAAACAGTAATGAAACGTTAACTTTTTTTTTCTTTGAAAGGTTGCAAGAACATATGAGTACACATAAGCCAGAGACAAATGTATCTTCAGGAAAGCACGTACAGTTTTCTCAAAGCATATACACAGGCAACTGAATTCGTATCTTCTAATTTGGAGAGGGTGATCTTAACCAATGTGTTTTAGAAAGCTTATGTAATGATATAGCAGACGTATCTTTGAACATATTTAAGGATTTAAGGCAAAACCTATACTAAATCCATGCCGAACCTTTCTCAACATCCACTGGAGACTTATATAACCCAATCACTTGTCCTTCACTTCATTTACTCATATTTCTATCAACCTGCTCTTCTTTTTTTAAATAACTCTTAACAAAATGTTTTCTCTAGATTAAGACTTTGTTAATTAGAGGCTCTTCAATTACATTCACATCTGGAATGGAGTCTGGGGCCAAAAACAGATGGTCTGTGAAAGGCCTACAATCAAACTTCAGCTATGCAGATTAAGGAATGGATTTATAAACAACAGCACTAAGCTGGGACAAAGTTACATGAAATATTCATTCCAAATAAGTATTTTTGTCACCTTATCTGACAACTCATTTTCCACATCTTTCTTGATTCTTCTCAACATAAATGGTTTCAGAATCATGTGCAAGCGGGACAGCTGGTCTGAAATGCAGAATAAGGGAAAGAAAAGCGTATTGAGTTTTCCTATGAAAAGTCTGTTCAGACTCTTACTGCTCAGCCATTTCTGCTCATATAAGTACTTAAAGCACAGGCTTGGTGCTTCTGTTAAAAAAGTGTATATATTATATATGCATTATAAATAGCTATATATGTATATTTACATTTATAATATAGACATGATTTTACATGTATATATAGATGTTTTTCAATGTGACATCTTTACGTTTTTCCACTCCTAAAGTATGCTGTCCTGTAGTCAGAACCAAAAGCTTCCACATAAACTACACAGTCCATAATACTCCAACCCAATACATTCTCTGCTTTACATGACATTCCTCATATGAAACAACAGATGAAGTTTATCCACTGGCAGTCTAAAAAGACAGTATTTTTTTATCCATTGTAATCATACATGGCACTCACTCTCATCAATGGCAGATTTGTTCTCTGCATGGCTCTCTATGTCCTTAGAGAACCACTCATTGAACTCTTCATGGGAATCAAACAAGGTCGGCATGATAAAGTGCAGCAGGGCCCATAGCTAAAAAGAGGAAAAAAATAGCAACTTAGCAAAAGTCATCCTGCTGTGGACAAGTTATTAGGAATCTCAATCTTACTGCAGCTCCTCATATGCAAGTCACCTTAAAAGGTTGTAAGACACAACAAACAAAACATATATTAAAAAAATATTCTTTTTTTCCATTTTACACTGGAAAAATGCCAGATATATCAACTCATTAGGACACCATCAGAAAGCAATGACAAATTCAGGACAATGACTTTGACCAACTGAAGAAAAAAACACTGGAGTTACACTTATCCTGAAATCTAGGTACAACTAACGAACAGATATCTTCATACTGTTATTCAAATGCCTGGCATATACCCAAATTTCTCCTCCGAAAGTTGACCCCATGTTTATTTGCCAATGTCTGCTACACATGTAATCCCACAGCCACTCAAATAAAGCAGATTGCTCAACAGCTCACTCGCTAACTTATGGGATGTATTATTGTCATAAAGAAAAGGTAGCTCTTGAGAGCTTCTGAATACCTCAGCCATTGTGTTCTGGATTGGGGTCCCAGTCAACAACAGTCTATTTCGACACTGGAACTGTAGCAGGATTTTCCAACGGACACTGATTAGATAAAATCAAGAAAAATGTTAAAACTGAATTTGTACAAGGAGTATGAAACAAAAGCAATTTTAAAAGCAAGCACTTGAAGTGACCTTCCCAAGGGAGTTTTGGAGGTTACTAAGTGCATAGGCTGCTGTGGAAGGAGCACTGAGCTCTGCATGGCAGTTTCCAAACAATGCTGTGGAGGCATTAGGTCTGAATGAGTATCCCCCTAAAGCAGTTCTAAACTCATGAAAATGAAGACTTGACGTGTACAGTGGCAATCATGGGAAAGGGTATGACAAAACAAGTAGAAAAGTAAAGATGGAAAAATCTGTTACTTTGGAAAAACTGAATTGAAAACTTCTTGAAACAAAGTTCTGAGACAAAGATTGGGCTTTCCTGCAGCCTGCAGCATCTACAGGTTCTGACCTTTACTGGTATCTGTAGATGCCACTGAAGAATGAATCAATATAATTAATTTAATGGAGGCAACAAAAGTAATACACATCTGTTAAAGGCTACAGATTGTTCCCTAGGAGAACTACATGACTGATTATGAAAGAAGAAGCTAAAAGGCACTTCACACCATTTTATTTCACTGTCCTCTATGTTACACATGTTTCTGTCACACTTTTTAATTACACTTCACTTATTTGGGGCAGCAAAGCCTAAAAACTGGATCATTCTAATTTCACAGAGTTGGATTCATATAGGGACTTAACTAAGTTTGACATTTAAAGGCTCTTGTGAATGTTAATTTTAACTTCTATCTACTTGTGCAGTTTTGACATTTTCTTAGTGTATCTTTGAAAGGCTGATGGATGAGGGAAGATTTTGTTTCTAGTTCATTTATTACCTGGAGCTACTTTTGAGTGCTTGTGCTTCATCCAGCACCATATATTGCCACTTCACTCGCTGGAAATATTTCACATCCTGCACGACTAGCTGATAACTGGTAATTACCACATGGAAAGGAGCATCCTGAGTATACAACGTCTTCTATAATCACAAAATAAGAGACAAACATCCACATGAGGTAAACGGATTGTGAAGAATTCACTAGCATATACTGTGATTTCAGACTCTTTCATAATCTTTTCTCGTTCCTACTGCATTCTGTTCTCCATCTTGCTTTTTAACTAATCACAAAAGACACTTCAGCTGGTGAATGTGAACTTCAGCCCACCTGCCCTTGAACGATTTCAAATGCTTCTTAACATGCCAGACCAGAACCAGGCATTGAGCCCTATAAATACTTTTTACCCATATAAATTGGGAACATGCTGACAGACACACAGGGATTCCCAAGTTAGGTTATTAGGTTATGCAAACAGAATACACAGTTCTGGACATGGAGATCACCTGCTTTATCTATCTGCAATGCTGTCTTTTGTTCAGCTGAACTCTGTACTCTCCTAAATTGCCCTGTACAGGAGAGTTTTTCCACTTTGTTACATTAATGAAAATACTACTACACTGACGAGGAAACAGAACTCTACATACACACGTTCTTTAGCTGGGTAGGATGTATCTACAATTTCTGCTCTACTCTGCACAAATCATAAAGGTAGACAAAGCGTATGTGAATGTCAATATTACCTGACTCCAAAATTTTCTGATCACCTTTCTATCATGGGGATTTCCCCAGTAAGGTAGCACCTGAAACAGCCCAAAAGTACAAAGATATTACGTTCAAATAGAGACATACCTCTAGCAGAATTTATTCTACAAAATGAACAAGACTGCTTTCACCAAAGCAAGCAAAAGGGAAAATGATTTTTTTAAACATACAGAAAAATCAGAAAGGACTTAAAAATACTGAGAATGTTCCATACAAAAGTGTCAAGCAACTTATGCCAAGTGTAGAGTAGATCATTCTGTACTAGAATCTCAAAATGTCCAGAAGCATCTCTTTCCAGTTATACTTTCAAAATTACAACTGATACTTAGTTTACTGCAGAAGGAAGTTTGCCCAGAACCTGTTCTCCTGTTATTTAACTTTTTGTCACTGACCATACCAATTCTGTTGGTTTTATACACCGAAACTGTTCTTAAGCTCTGAGATAAAGCATCTACTCGTGACATATTTTATAAGAGTACAAAAATAAAAGCACTACTGCCAAATAAGTTTCTTGATCAATTTATAGCTCTGAATTTTATGGGTCCTTTTACTCAGAACATGGATCTGATCTTTGAACTGAACTAAAACAGGTGAGAGTTTCTAGTTAATAATATTCTATCGCCATCTCTCGTCTAATGAAAGAACTACACTGAAGCGGGATTAAAAATACTGAATGCTGGTTTCTGAAGCGAGGAAAGGTCTTAAATGCTTCCATCCTGCAAACCTTGACCTCTATAAAGCTTGCACACAAGTGCCTTTGGCTGGACGTTCTTTCAACCATTCTAGAAGAAGGATACTAGTGAAGAAATACCAAATTAATCAAAGTGTAATTTGTCCTTCATTTTACATATTTTTTCATGCACTGGAATAAATTAATTCACTGTGATTTACTGTAAATATACACGTAACTCTGTATGAATGGAAGAAGGAACAAAAACGGTTCAAAAAATATGATAAAACATATGGTTAGTTTTACATGCTTACAGGTAATAGTATCATTATTAATTTTTACAAAATATTTTGTTCTAGAAAGTAACTAGACATAATGGAAATAGCCCCCTCCCCCAAACAGCTACATAATGAGAGAAACAAAGACAATTATTTTTTAAAATCAAAAAGTGAAAAATCATCTTTTCAAAAGTGTCCTGACTGTATATTTGGAAATGTCTTCCATATTTCACTTATGAGAAGGAGAAAGTATAAAAAACGCTTACCTATTCCATGCCATAAACTGGTTAGACAAAGTTATAGAGAGTAAATAGGCAGAATGGACAACTGTTCTAATAATGTTTTCTCTTCTAGGGTTTCAACACAATTCTCTATTGCTTTTGGCTATGCAGAGGTAGTTTTTGCTGTTGTTGATGTTAAGATAATTAATTAAGGTAAGTCTACACTAATTTAAGTATTTCTATTTCTCTTTGTGCATCAGTTTTTCTTGATTATTAATTGCATGCTTATGGTTCTTCTATATTCCCTTAATAACAACTATATTTTCTCTCATCTGTTTAGGATTCTGTTTTTGTTTACATAAAATCTTTATCCTCAGATTAAGTCAAACTACTATGAAAAACTAAAAATGCTGCTCTAAACCTGAGGCATGTAAGGCTGAAATACTATTCTTATGTCTGTTTCCAGGCCTTATATAACAGCTGAATGTCACACCTGCCCAACTTCAATTCCTCACTAGGAAGGTGTCTTTAAGCTGTTCTAGAATGACCTCCTGTGACATAGGAATAACATTTCTAAGCCCCGCAAAACTGAATTCTCTAGAAAAACAGGATCATTAAAGAAATTGCAAAATCAGAACTAGAAACTACAAACTTCTAATTTCAAACTAATTAGTTCACTAAGATGTGGCAAAGAACTCAAGAGAACAAAACAATCTGCTTTTGAGACAACAGAAATAACTTTCCTGTACACATTCATTACCTTAAATTTAGGAACAAATCTGGCAAATTCCTGATGCCAGTTGTTGAGAGTAGAGGCAGGTGAAATTATTAAAAAAGGTCCCCAGATGTTCTCCCTCTGAAATGTATACATTAAAACACACACACATTGAATTTAGAGACTGCTGTATACAGTATTACAACTACTAAATGGCAATGATTCAAATACACTATATATGAAAACTTCTAGCAGCCCAGCAGGCTAGAGCAGATCTAATGTTTAACTAAGACTTCTTTCACAACAGCAAAGTTGTACCCAGAACAACTCTTCGTCTCACCCCCTTGTTTCTAGAAGTTGGTGCTTTCAGATTAATAGCAGCCCTTGCCATTATGTGAATGAAAAGTCATCAGGTGGCATGGGAAATCTTAGCTCCATCATCCTGCTTTAGATGAGAATAACAAAATTAAGCCACTAGCATACTGATGGTCATAAAGGTGCATAAAGGAGAGCAGGGAAAAGCAAAAGCTTCCGAAGACTCAAACTACAATGCAGCAGGAAGCCAAGCCTATCAGCTCTCTCCTCCACACAGGTCAGCTCAACAGCCTTGGGTGCTGCAAGCCCTTCTGATATTCTCTTTGACAGTGGCATTTAACTGGTGTCAGAAAGAACATAAATAGATGTAGATAACTATCACTCATTCACTACTATAAATAGTTCAGTTCTCACTCCAACTGATCAATGTCTTCTGTTTAAGGCAAGTGACTGGATGCCAATCAAAACTTCTTCTTTTGCCGTTTTTAAAATATATCTGCACGAAGAAGTCCACTTTATGTCTTTTGCTTTGTTTGCCTACCATGGCACAGAAGAATCATTATTCTATCCATACAGACTGCCATGAAGTTCAGAAATTGGGCTTCACTTCTACAGGTAATCTGTAAAACTCAACTATAAAATCTGTAACGTGCTCTGTCATCAGACTTCCACATTAAAGTGTGAATGAAAAGGTGCCGCTTTGAATAATCTTGTATTTTACATTATATTATAGTTAACATAAGTGTAAGTATACTTATAGTTGCATATATAAAGATACATGTATGTATAGATACACGCACATATCCTTTTAGAGATGCAGCTTTAAAACAAATACTATGGATAAAAAGTATCTTAAGATATTCAAGCTTTATCATCTGTAATTAGTCAAACACAGAAAAAAAAATGCATGTTCTATCAAATAGGCTGACCAAGAAGAAGCCATAACACACTTACCTCAGCCAAATGTGCAAGGAGAGCAATGCTTTGTACTGTTTTACCCAGACCCATTTCATCTGCCAAGATGCCATTGATGCCCTGCAAAAGAGCCCCAAAAGAATACATTTGCCCTGCCACTTTTTAACGTACAGGACTAGCAGAACAAGCTGGCACCAAGCTTAGTGGAAGCAGACCCATTGCAACAAATCTGAAATGCTTAACCAGCTCCTAAGTTTTCTATCAAGAGGTAAGTTCCCCAAACTGCACTTTCATTTCTAGGCCTATTTTTTTCCCCCCACTCAACCTGCCTGCACTTTGCAATCACACTGCAACCTGCTTGTGGGTAAGGCTGCCTGCAGTTACAGGCTCACCAAAATCTGAAACAGCATGAAACTCCGAGGAGCTGAAATTTCCTCTGGGTGACCTAACTGGTAAATGGTTGCATAAACACCCACATAAAGAATCTTGAGGTAAATTATGTATTCAAAGTTATTTCCCAAGTAAGTCAAGAATAATAACAGGTGTTTTGCATACTTTCTCTTCTACAAAAAGACATTTCAAATGTAGCATGCATGGTCTAATTTTAAAACTAGCAATTTATTTTTGACCAAGATTACTCTAATGACTTAAATTATCCTAGAAGTTTTAGATATTTGCAAAATGTACCAAGATACCTGTTCATATAGGTTGGCCAGCCAGTTCATGCCTTTTAGTTGATAACCTTTCAGTTTGCCATTGAAAATGGTAGGCTGAGGAATGTCTTCTCCTGCCCGGATAGATGGGTTTGCTAAACTGTAGCTCTCTCCAAAACCAGTACCAGACTTGTTAGCAGCCCGTAGAGCAGCTGCCCGACTCTCCTTTGCATCTTCATCAAATGATCTGGTCTAAATGAGAGAAAAATATGCATAAGATGATGAACATATAAACTTATCAAGAAACTCTGTAACAAAAGATCTTACATTTCTCATTAAAACATAGGATGTCTGCCATATATCAGTGAAAAATAAGCCTGTTCTCATAGTTCAAATCATTATTTTTCCAGCTGTTTGTCACAGAAAGGGGAAATCCAGCTTGCAGCCATGATAATATATAGTGACTTGAATCAGTTACTGTGAACAATCACAGGTTTAGGACCCTACTACTTTGCCTTCCATTTTTTGCACGGACCCGAAAAATACACACCCTGGCCTGGTGAATCTGGAAAGCATCTTCAGCGTTCTTCAGCGCTTGAGCTTTGTAGTAGTTACTATCTGAAAACAGGAAGTGCATGTTAGAGCTCTGCAGTAGTAACCATCCAAATCGACATACCGATAAATGACAGAAATAGGGCTTCTTACACAGAAGAATTTATGTGCTGGAAATTGTAAGCTTGACTAATAATGTGTAGCGTACAGTAAACTTCAGAAGAGGGCACAGGGAGCATCACAGATAGTTTGCTTACCATAATCTTCCTGGGTGATATTGACCACTACTCCTCCACCAATATCAATCTGCCTTTGAGTAGAGCTGTCTTCCAGTTTGCGTAGGATTTCCTCCTGTATTCCATCATGCCCAATATCACGTTTACGACTCATAAAATGAGCATATAATTCAGTCTGTGTGATCAGGAAGTTAAGTTTTCGCTGCTGCCTCTTAGCCTAAAAGAGCATTTAAAACAAACAAACAAACAAAAACTTAAGACAAAGGTTTAATATTTAAATTATAACTAAAGAATACATTCTAACAACTAATCTATGTAGATTGTATTATGTGCATTCCTATGATATCAGGATGCTAAATTACTGGTTGCTCATAAAAACATCAACTACCACCAAAAACACCTGTATCACCTATACTAAAATATAGAGATGTAATATACAACAAGCATTTTTTTTAACTCTGGAGTTATGGCAAACAGCACTATCATCTGATAAAAATAAGTCTGAAAGCTTCGTTTACATTATGGTTAGGAAACTGAACAGCTAAAAAAAAACCCTCTCATGATCCTCAAAACATTCTACTATTTACTTAGTAAAGAAAAAATTGTGCTTATGAGCTGGTAAGAATGAGAGAACAGAGTAAAACAAGGGCATTTAAATACAGAACTAAATCAAAGGTATTCTGAAGCTCAATTTCAGCTCATCAGTGAAATGTAAGGCAACAACTTGTCAGAGAACTCTGGCAAACATTTTTTTTTCTTAAACTCATCCCTTATTATCCCTAAAGGAGTGCACAAAGCAGTCAGTTTGTGCTTTAAACAGCCAATGCAACAGTGATCACAGAAGTGTTTTCCACTCTTTGCACCCCAACACTTTCTCTAATGTCCTCCAGAACACTCACACAGAAGGTACATACAAATTAAATTACGTATACAGCAGAAAAAAAAAATCTGTGTGAATTAAAACACAGCTTGCTTCTGAATCCAAAACAATGAACAAACCATCACAAAAGGCTGGCCCTTGCTAACTGTTACGTATGTATGCCAGTGAGACACGTGTTGCTTGGACAACTAGTTCTTCCATTTTCATTCATTTATAAAGAACTTACACAGCTTGAAGGCTTTCTATTACATCTAGCTTGTATTGTGTAAAGAAGAATTGTGTAAAGAATTTGCAGATAGCATAAAATGTAACTGGAAAAGCACTGAAACAAAGCAAAAATCTGAAACTCTTAAGCTAAATTTAGAAATGATTTGAGCAACCCTTTGTCTTCTCAATAGGTGAATTATCTATAATTTGTATTTTTGCTGTACCTCTCTCATCTCCTCATCTAGCTTGCGTTGCTCCAGAGCCTCTTTCTCAGCTCGCTTGCGATGTTCTTTTTCGACCTTTTCATACTTTTTCCAGTAGAGAAGCATCTCCTTGGTAAGACGACGTGCCCGTGGTAGAGTTTCCTTACAGTTTTTCTGGGCCTGGAGAGCAGCTCGGCGTACCTCCCTCATGCACTGATGGGCAAGCTAGGGACAAATAAGGTTAGGATACAGAAGAAATGCAGGAGGGTTTAAAGAAATCCACCAAATCATCATTTAATAACTGCCAAATCTGACCCTTTAAAAGATAAAACCTGTAATGCTTTGCTCAGATTTAGCACTTTCGAAATGAGGTGAGAGAACGTCCACTTCCCAAAACCTCCGGAAATGCATACAGGAGATAAGACCTAAAATCATTTTCAGTGGCTTGGTACTCTTTAGTTTTCACTGGCAGGTAGCTCTCTGAAAGGATTCGGGAGACCAGAGTTCAAGCCCTGCTTCCAACTCTTAGCTGTTCTAGACATTTTTCTGTGGTAACTCTGCGCTCTCACTGATTTAACCAGCTGCAGCAGTGGCAACCAGTGTAACTATTGTGTTGGTGTAATCCTATTCACATGCTAATACACTCAAAAATGCGGAGTAACCTGCAATTTTCCTAGCATCTCACAACAACATAATACCGTGTAATTTTTCATTCTGGAATAAATAAATTAAAACTATTGTCATAATGTTCCAATAAATATTTGGCTGTGATGTTTGTGACAGTCTTTTTTTCTCCAGTAAAATTTGCACATGAATAATTCTGTCACATGGAAATTTCAAATGATCACACAAAATGAAAATTAGGAAAAAAAGGAGGAATTTCACAGCTTCTAAGTCTGCTGCTTTACTCACTTGCTAAAGTACAATTTATGATACTGACAAAAACAATAATCACAGTCTGTTTGCCCAGACATCACAAAGAAATCTCGTCTCAGCTAGCTATGGAGGAGTGCAAGAGGGAACCTACTACACAGACCAAAATTTCTTAAGATGCAGACATGCATGTCCTATTTTTTGCATCCCTTTCTCAGATAATGTGCCCTTTCTCAATAATGTATACACAGACTGAAAGTTTACTACATCTTCTTGTCTCTGATGATTCTCGACCATGTACTTCATTACTTTTTCATTAGACATATAAATGAGTCAGGCATTTGAGTGTAACATTTAAAAAATGCTCAGAAAGCCATCACCAAATGTTCCCAAAGCAAAGCCTTCTAGGTATAAACAATGAGATATCTCAGAGAAGATTTCAATGAGGAAATAAATTCTTTTACAATAATTTAAGTGGAAAATTGTTCTACTTTTAATCTCTGCTCCTATGTATAATCATACAGATTAATACATTTAATATTTTCAAGAGTACTGGCAAAACAGTGGCCAAAGAATTTCTAAAAGCTAGCGTATACTGAAGATTGATAGTATCAAAGATCAGTAAATTAAAAATATGCAAATTAAATCTTCTGAAAGTCAAAAGAACCTCACGGAAGACGCTCATGTTTCCCATTTCATCTACTGCTTATGAAATTATACATCTAAAAAACAAAAAACTTTAACTGATAAATTAGTTCCACATATTGCCCTGCTAATGTAAGCAGTACAGTAAGAAACAAAAGAAATACGAAGAGGTTACTGCTTGCTTATTATATCCCACACAAGTAAAAGCTAAACAATGCTTACCTTTTTGCTGTTGGTTAGGAAGAGGTTGCGTGCTGAGGCTTTTTGCTTGAATGCCTATAAAAGAATATCTTAAAATCACTCCAAGAATAATGACTTCAAAATATTTTAAAAGATTATCCAGTCTTTAGAATGGTACGTGCCAACCTCAGCAATGCACACACTTGTATAACTGAGTACGTGTACTGTCAGTATTTTCGACCTCAACTGAAACAGTTTTCATCTTTCACAACTGAAGACAGAACGTAAACATTTTTCAACAGGAAGTATCTTACATATCTCCTTTTTTAGGATGATTTCTTTAGCTACCGTTTTTTCAAAGCAGTGCTCTCCTACTATGATGGAAGAAAAAAAAAATCTGATGCTTTCTAAAAAGGTTAAGATTCATGTTCCTCATGGGACCAAAATTAGTCTTTGGAAAAAGGAAGGTATATCACACTGGGCATAGCCTCTGCTTGCTTTACAAGTTCATAAAGGATGATAAAACCATCACTCATACTCAGTTTCCTAAAAATTCTAAGTGTGTTACTGCAGACTTCAAAAAGAAGGTCATAAGATCCATGCTGATCACCTCTCAGAGAGCTAATGACAATGAACACAGCTCCCTATTTCAAATAGGCCTGAAGGTCCTTCTGTAAATGACGATCCAAATAATGCTTTCGCTAGGCTTCTCAAGTGCCAATTTTCAAAAACAGTCAGTACTGAAACACTCCTGGACCGAACTTGAGGCAAGACCTAGATATTGGGTTGCTCTACACTGCTATACTGCAAGGTCAGTATCTAATGGAGTTCACTATACTGTTCATAGAAAACATCTGGAGAGCCAAACAAAAGCAGTGGCAAAACACTACACGACCCACAGAGATATCATTGGTGATAAGTGATCTGAACAACCCTTTGCTTATGGATTACTGGGCATCCATTTGGCCATTGATGTCCAACAGAAAATCATGCCTCACTTTACTCTGTTTTTCCACATGTTAATACCTCACTAAATTAATCTTCATTTCACTTTTTTTTCCAACATCCCTGATCCAGAGCCACGGGGCAAGCTCACCTTCGGCAACTCCTTTTTCACTATGCTAAGCCACACTTTCCGCCGACGAGCATTAAGTTGCTCAATGCTCATATGTTTTTTCTTGGACCCTGGTGGTGGAGTATCATGAGAAAACTTGGCAAAAACTTTGGTCTGGTGGTGATGGTGGTGTGGTGATTCCTCCGAAGAGAGCTCTTCATCCCGTCTCCTCTTTTTCTTTACTTTTTTCAACTTGCCTGCATGGGAACAATGATTTCAAAATTAGTTTTGTTGCCAAATTCGAGAATCTTTTTTCTGTTTTTTTTTCCACACTTAGTCAGCTCCCTTTCCTAATTAAGCTGTCCTAGTTAATTTACATATGGAACAAAAAAAAAAGAAAAAAAAGGGGGAAAAGCTCAAACAACTTATCCATGTCCACCAATTCTGACACCATTAATTATTAATTTAATTAATTTAATTAAATATTTCCTCAGCATTGGTAATTGAATTATTTTCTTTTTTTAATAAATAGAGTGGTAAAATTCAAATCTTTTTTGCAAGGAAACATGACATAAAAGTTAAAAATATCTGTGATCTGGTATAATGCTTCTTGCTCTGTGGCAAATTCTACTTAAAAATACTTAAAGATAACAAGATCGGCATTTAATGGGTAAGTCTGAAACCAAACTCAGCATCAGTTGAGAGTGCAGCCCGTGTTACCACTTACTAAAGACACCCACTTTCAGAAAGAACTACCAGATTCTGGTATAGGATTAAAAACACTCTTTGAAAGTATGTAAAACTATGGATGCTACAAGATTAGTGAAGAAAAAAAATATACACAGTTGTGTGCAAGGAAGTTGCAGGAAGTTCGGAAGGAAGGAAGAAAGCTCAAAATAGTCTCCCTAAAACACAGCTCAGGCTTTAAGTAGTTACACTGGAGAGAACTCATTTTACATTGACAGTTCACAACCTTCTCTTTCTACTTCCTTACAGATTAATAGCTGCTGCCAGCTTGATCAAGAAAGGAAATTGTACTTCCTGGCAAACACGCATCTGAGAAACTGCAGCTGAGAGGTTGCAGAAGTTATTCTATTTTAATTCATATTGGAATTCAATTTCCAGTTCTCTCTCATTTCCAGAAAACAGTCTCACTCCCTATTGTTTCTTGTTCACTAGAATCATGAATCCAGGATTAACTGTATCAGGCATTGAGTAATTTCTCAATATGTGTTTTTCAAGGAGCTTTCACATTTTAAAAACTCTTGAGCAAATGGATCATGATATGCAACAGCATTTGTGGATTCTAAAATACTGCCAAGCAATGAAGCAGGCTACAAAGTGATTATGCCATGATGCTTTCATTCTAGATCCAGAGGTCTGCAAAGAAACTCTAAACCCATGAACTCTAAAATGACACTATTTTGTTCAGCCTCACTTTCTAGAAACCACAATAATAGCATAGTGTTTTCTGATAATTTGGCAGACTGAAGATTAGCTTTCCATTTGTCACCCAAAAGTTTTGAATAGGTGAGTTATCGGAAGGAAACCCTGAAGAAAATAATCAGTTAAAAAGAGAAGATCAGTGATTTTACCTTTTATTTTTTTCTCCTCTTTGAACTTCTTTTTCTTGGGCCCTAGCAGGTGGCGCTGCTGCTCATAGTAAGGATCATGTGTGGAGAGCAATCCTGCACTGTAGTACTGATACTGCTGCAACTGAGGTGGATATAAATAGCATGATAATGGAAAAAGATATAACAGATAAAGACAGCAAATAAACAAGTTCAAATCTTGACCATAAATAAGAGATCAAAAAAATTCAGCATTGCTATCAAGGATCATGAAGTGCCCAAAGTGAAGCCAAGGATCCAGAGGCACTCCCTAAAGCTCTACAGAGGGAACCGAAGTGACCCAGTTAAACAGAAGAGGCAGAGCAGGCAGTTGACCTTACAGTTTCAAATCACACTGCTCGCTCTCTTAACACGTGGGTGCTACCCAGCAAGAAGCATGGTACATATAGTGGTCCAGCTGAGGACTTCTATCCGTTTTGCTTGTATTTCCGTATGACATATCTGCTCTATTTGTTGTATCAGAAGGTGTGAGAAGACTGGGTTAGATAAAAGGCATTTAAAGCACTTCCATGAGAGCAAGTAACTTGTAACATTCAGTTCTCAAAGAAAAGTACAGAGACTCCAATAGTTTTTGGCAACTGTTAAAAAGGTATTTTCCAAGTGTTACTCAAATAAAATATTAAAGAACCATAAACAGGTTACACATAAAAAGGGAATTTTTTGAATTGCGATCCCTTTAATTAACTTTTTACAACTGAGGACGCTTCTAAGTTAATATAAGATTATTGAAAAGCATACCAGCATACGGAGTAACCAGCAGCAAAAAAAACTGTTTAGATAGATGCGTTTCCCCCACCCTCTCTTCTATATACTACTGATGTGAAACCACTCTGGCTTCTTCCACTAGATATTATTTCTCAGCAGTCCGGAAATGAACATCCGTAAAATCTAACAAAAACTCTAGCCTGTGTGAAAATTGGATATTTGAATATTTTTGTAATGATGTAATATTTCAAGACCCTAACACAATGTGTGTTTACAATTTAATGAGTAAACAAGGAAATGATGTGGACAGAAGCAAAGACTTGGGTGGGAAAATTCTATTTCTTCACTCTTCTGGTGAAATTTTCAAGGAACGTGAGATAAAAAGGCAAATACACATTTCAGAAGCATCCTCTAATAGACAAATAGGATGACTTCCTTCACCTCGCTCTCACTTTCTGGTGAAATTCAAAACAGCAACAAAAATGTTGGCAAAGTCCTTTACAATAAGCAGGAATATAATATTAGAACAGCCCCAGAAACTTAGCCTGGTACTAAGAAAAATGCAGAAATGCATCAGCAGAAATTTTCTTGCAAGGAAGAGAAGAAAATGAGAATATGAAAAGAAAATCTAGAACAGAAAAGAGAGGTAAGAAAGAAAACCAGGAAGACGTAGAAAACCCAAAAAATTCAGAAAAAAAAACAGCAGGAAGAAAACTAGGAACTCCCTTTCAATAAGATAAGTATCACCTTACTACTACCCCCAATGATTATGCAAATATATTGCTTTAAATACCCAATTTTAGTCTTGAGTAGGATAACGACTATGCACAGCATTTCACACACATTACACTGTTGTTGCATTCTCGCTCCAGTGAATGGGCAGAACACTGTGGAAACTATATATATACACACATACACCAGTACTGCTTACATAGCTTGAGAGGTTGCCAGCATAAGGGATCAGCAGCTTTCTAAACTGTATGTAATTAGTTAAATTACACTTGTCTTCAACTGATGCTAGACTTTTCTAGATTATGAAAAAAAACAGGATATTTTCCAGTCCACAGAACATTACAACTTTTCCAGAAAAATCTAAGTGTGGTCAAAAAAAAAGCACTTATCAAGAAAATACAAACAATCTGGGTATTTACCTCTTTGTCTTTGCTATATTTACTTTGATGCAATTTCTTATATTTGTGTAATCGCAGCATATTGTGAAGCTCCTCCCTTGAAAGAGAAAATTCTTCTTCCTCCTCTCCATCTTCATCACTTGGTGAATCTGTATCGCTGGAGTCATCACTCAGAAGGATGCTCTGAAAAGAATAAAGACTAGTTTAACAATCCCAAGTCCTATATCAAAAGGTTTATTTAAGCAGAATATTTGAGCCTTCACAAGGCCTTAGCACTTACAATGTGTTTCCCATCTGAAATGCCTCAAGTATGAAACAGTTTTCTGAGATACAGTACTGTATAGCAGTTAACCTAATACAGCTATTTTCTGGTGGCTCGAGAGGTACTTCTCTTTCAGTTTTGTATGCTAAAACTGATTGCCAAGAGGTCAGACAAGAGCCAGAACTGATGCATGGCATGCAGCTGGAAGTGGGAGCACAACAGGGCAAATAATGCACTTGCAAATTATATGCACTTTCCTACCCCCTTTGCATTATTTGCCCTGTTGTGCTCGCACTCCCAGCTGCATGCCATGCATCAGTTCTGGCTCTTGTCTGACCTCTTGGCAATCAGTTTTAGTAAAGGGGGTAGGAAAGTGCATATAATCACATATCACAAAATTCCCCTCCTTGTAACCGGGTCTTCTTTTTTTTTTTTTTTTGCCCAGCAATAAAGACTTGGGGGACCATGGGGAGCCAAAATGGTTTATTTACAAGAATATAATTTCAACTAGAGGAGATAAAATTACAATGAAGGTGCAAAGATGGATAAAACCATTATTCCATTTTGTCCTTCCTTCCTCATTGGACTTTGTGCTGAGTTCATCTTAGAAACAAACATTTAACTGAGTCCTGTATGTCCATGTAACATTTAATAACAGCTCATTTTAATTTGTACAGTGTACTAAAACTACTCCAAGTTTCTGAAGGCATACTCATCATGAAACTTAACTAAAATGTAGCTGCTCACAAAACAGAGAAGACTACTGTCCATTTTGTTACGCAATGGAAATGAAAGACACGAATCTACAGAGACTATAATTTTATCTTGTTCTTTGCAAGACCTAATACAATATTTACTCTCCACTGTCAAATACTCTTTCTTTCCCTCTCCAAGACGAGGCCTCTGCAGAACACTTTCTTTTAGTACGTGTTTTTAATATATACAAAAGCAATCCTTTATTAGCAAGGGTTGCTAGTTACATTTACAGAAGAGGAGAGGGAAAAAAGTGGAGCAAAGAGTTCAACATAGGGCAGGAGAAAAGAATTCGTTTGGAGCCCTTTTCAGTGACCTACAAAATATTACATCTCTATAGGTGCTCGTACATTTTTTTCAATGTGAGATTTTGCATCAGTTAAGATGACACCAGATCTTCTTCAGGTAGCTCTTAAACACATACGTCTAGCTTTCTAGGTTCTCAGTGGTAAATATAAAATTGAAGAACTATCGAAATGATCATAAAAAAATTACTGTATTTGAAAATTATATTTGTGATAATACTTTGACCAGAGCTAAATGCTTTTTCTTGTTGCTGTCTCCTTTCTTAAACATTTGGATCATCATGATTCACAAGGGATGACAATATGGAACTACTCGTTTACCACTATGTGAAGTGTATCACTGACGGTCTACTCATATATTAAATAACAGCTACATTTCTTGCCAATATTCTTACCTTCAGCCACTTTCTGCTTTTCTTCAGTTTGGAAAAGTTATACAAATTCCCCTTTTCGGACTTCGGTTCTGTTCAGAGGGAAAAAAATATAATCGATTTCTTAAGAAATAACATTTTTTCCCACCTTATCCCACAATAAGCAGAGATTCAACCTGCTGTGTGTCTACCTGGCTGCAATACTCCATTCAGGGAATGGGTGTTCAGCATCCCGGAATTTCCCGCTCCAGAAGATTCTCCAAGCAAAGAATTTGGAGGCTCTTCCTTAACTTGCATCAGGGGATCCCCAGACTGAGGCAGCAAAGGATTGTCATCCAGCCCATCTTCACTTTCGTCACTGCAATAAGATACGTAATATGGTCAAAATGAGAGGGAAACATTCAAAATAGAAGATTTCTATGATACTTTCTTACATGTGGCCACTTTTCTAAGGTTAGAGAATTTAGGAGGTTGCAGGCATAATTATACACTTTGGAAATTCTGCTGGTAATAACTTCCTGGTAAGCCCTTTCAGTGGCAGTTAAAAATAAGGCCAGCCTGGCTATGCTATCAACCCACATCCTCAGCCTCTAACAAGGTACTTGAGAAGTGTGCATCTAGCAATGAACTGTAGTGTTGAGTCAAACCAAAGCACAATATTGCCAGTCTCAACACAACTGTACATATAATATATACAGCACATACTTCTTTTTGTATTTATCTTATCGTGTGCCTCTAATATACCCTTTATCATTACCACCCAGTTTTCAGTTCTGCAACTCTACTGTTCCAAAACTTAAATGAAACTGAAAGCAAATTGTTTCAGGGTAGAAACTTCACCTCGATGACTCATTTCTCGATGACAGAACTTACTTTCTTCTACATAAATTCTGCATCTTACAATAGTGTTTGCATTTCACTTATGGTTATGTGCCAGTTCCATGAAAGATTAACTCGATGCTTGTTCATCCTGCTCTCTGCAGATGAAGAAACTTTAGGCCACTCAACTATGTAAAACAGCCTTATAAAACTGTGTTAATTTGCATTCAGGCTGGCAATATTCAGAAATATTGATATGAGGTAAGAGAAGGAACAGTACAAAATCTTTACAGGAACAGATTTTTATAGTGAAAAAGTCATTTTTAAACCCTTATTAGAGTGTTGCCTTGAAACAATGCTAAAAATATGCTTGTCTTTCTTCATTATTCCCAACTAAAAGCAGAGAGCTTTGGGTACCTAGATATACTCCTGTTGAAGATGGCAGAGGTCTGTCGCAGGAACTGATCCAACCGCAGAGCTTTCTCCAGGTACTGCAGATAAAGGGGTTTTGCCAGCTCTGAGCAGCTGCCATCCTCCCTGGCGCCCAGCTCTGAGGCCATAGAACAAACTTCTTCTCATGCACGGATGCCTCCAAATGCACAGCTGTTAACAAGAAATATCACTATCGTCAGCACCTTAGAAAAGAAAGAGTTAGGTGAACAGACAATACCCACTGCCTGTATTTTAAATGTCCAAGTGCTAAATGCTTCACAGAACACATGACCAGAAAAGTCCCTGTCTACAAGCTTTGGTTTGCAGCTAATGGTATGTTGAACAAACAGAAATTCACATCAAGACTTCCACCATAATATTAATGTAGCCAAAAATTAGATTTTTAGTCTTCTCTTTTATGAATTTGCAATGGATTTTGAATGGAACAAGCATTGCACTGACGTAGTTTGATAATCCAAATAATTTGCTTTAACAAACAATGATGTAGAAATAAAAAGTACAATGAACCCAGTCCTTGAACATCAAAACTAAATTATCACTATTAAAAATACCATTCTTAATAGTGAGGGCGGCCATGTATCATATAAAACATGTAATTGATTATTTTCAAGTTGAGCCATATATCTAAATTTACTCCAAATAAGAACACTGAAAATATCAGGTGTTTTTACAATTCAACCTGCAGCTTAGTCTGTACATTCCTTAGACTCTATAGAGCCTATGACCCTTCCTTTATTCAAAAGCAGCGCTACTCTCACGGTACTCAGAAATAGCTACCTGTGCACTAACAAGCTACAAATACTTGGGAGAAAAAAAAGAAGTTCCAATTGAAAATACAACTATCAATATTAACGAAAGAAGTAATAATTTGCAATTTATTAAATGGTTTTTCCAATACAATTTTTTTCAATACGAATTTTAAACAGACCACATTAGCTTTCACATTAGCACATAGATTTAAATAATAAAAAAAGCCTTTCTGATTTTTATCTTCACTTGCCCTTGGGATTTGATTCTCAAAAGAAGAAAAAACAGCCCACCACATTTGCATGAAGTTACCAAAACATTCTATTGCTCTGTCAACTACATTTCTGTTTTAATTCGATTACAAAAGATGTCTTGATGATTAGGAGTAATAGTGGAAAAGATAATGTTAAATACATTTATTTCCAAATTCAAAACTGCTACTATAAAAATGAAAGTGCTGCCAATGGTCTAAGTAGGATAATAGTTACTAATGAATGAAGGCTTTCAGCTTAGGCTTTTGTCTCTGCTGGTTGACAAAAATGAAAACCATCAGCTTTTGAAAGATTTATTAGATTACCCGTTCTTCTAAAGTGTTCTTCTGGTTTGTATCAGATTTCTAAAATACTAGAAAACCTGAAGCCAACTTCACACTCTAATCTACTCCAAAGCATTTTATATATATTAAATTACTGAACTGTTTCAAGCTTATACATGCAAAGACATAAGATAAGCTTTAAGGTCTTCAGATTGCTGTTTATGCACACAATCAGTCACTAGCTTTTGCCAAGTTTCTTACTCTTGAAAACTACAAATCAGTTTCAGAATTCCTGAAATTACAAAAAGTCAAGATTAACTAACTACTACCTGGAGCCTAAGAGCTGTTGTTGAACAGGAGCCCACCCTTTTTTTAAACAAAAAACTAGAGAAGAAATATCCATCCATCCATCCAGAAGAAACAACAGCAGCCTGTATGTTTTAGATATCATCCACCATCATTTAAAAATGAATTTTAGACTGAAGTTGTCTAGGTTGAATTTTCTATATGCTAGATCTTCTTACACCTGACAGAAATAGAACGAATGACCTCTGTTATGAAATACCTGTTTCCAGCAGAGGTTAACAGCCAGAACAAAGCACCGGGAAGGCTTCCCTATGAAAAGGGGATTAAGATTTGTGTTTTCCAAGCCTTTATTTATTTATGAGGCTTTCATCTTGTGTTTTATTCCTTAACACCCATCTGTAAAAAAACTAAACCCAAAGACTGCCTTCCAACCCACAGCACCACAAGGAAAGTAACGAGGTTAGGAAAAGAGAGGAAGTCTTAACCTAGTGCCCCCGGCAGAAAAAAAAAACAGAAGAGGGCAGGGGAAGGGGAAGGCAGAAATAGTAAAGGACATTAAGAAAGTGGTTCTCTGAGATCACCAATAAAAACAACAAAGAGGCCTGATACAATTCCTCATATCAAACCAGAAACAAAACACGGTGACCCCTTTTATGGCTGCATTTCAAAGTGCATCCCTAAACAAGAAATAGCATGTGTTACATAACTATCATATTACTCTAGTCTCCCAGCCAAACCGTCACGTGCAAGTACGATGCTTTACGGTTTTGCTCAGAACCATAAGGCATCTTTGAGCTGCCTGCCCTTTGCAGAAAAGCTCCTTCCGAAAAGTCGAGTAACGCTGCTTGTCCTTGAGGCGCTGCAGGAGAGACCTGCCTGAGGGGGCACTAAGCAACGTGGCATCCTTTGGCTTCCCTGCTGCTGGGGAAGCTAACAGGTTTGCCAGGCTCTTTTGCACTCCACCATATGTACAAGCCTAACAGGAAAAATAAAATAAAAGGAAAGAAAAATAAGATAAATTTAACTTCAACTTTTTAATTACAAGACAGCAAGTAGGCTGCAGGCAGAACACACCCAGTTGGACTCCTGGTCTGAACTGATTAACCGGAGGCTTTCGGAGCTGCTCAGATGTGGCTGCCCAAGGGCAGCTCCGGGCCGGCGCTGCCGCCCGCCTGCCCCGCGCGGAGGCAGCGCAGGGAGACACCCAGCAGAACGCGCAGGGTAAGGCGAACCGACCAGAAGACGACACCATCAGATGTGTTCGCTAACTAGAAGATTAAGGCATTTCCTCTGGAGCGGCTCATTCCTATGGCACTGAGTTCCCAGGTGTCTACAAAAGCTAGGAAAAACTGCGAGACCAGCAAAAAGTGAGTTTTCATTCAGTATTTTGATACATTAAATTCCTCTTTCTTTTGTCTACTACAAGATGTGCCAAATACCCAACTCACACATACTTTCAGCAAATAATTACGTTCTTTAGTATTACTTCTCAGATCAGGAAACCTCACAAAGTCCTTCTCGTGCTTGCATAATAATTTATACTCTACCCAAAGAAAAAGTGGAAACTTCTGCCTGTGTTCTACTTGGATTTTCCCAAGAGGCTCCTGGAGCTCAACAGTAGCCTTAAATGTAACAACAGTGTCCAAAACAAATTTAGTAGAAGCGTTAGATGGGCACAGAGAACAGTTCAGCCCTTGATTCAGCCTTTTCTTTATTTATATACCACTAGTTGCATAGTGCTTCTCCGCTGATCAAAGTAGTAACAAAGGAAGCTCACCTACAGCTATCTCCTTCTCTACTCTTCTGCTCCTATTATACCTTTTAAGAAACAAGGATTTCCAATGGCTGAAAATGCCCAAAAGAGACACACACAACAGCCTGGTCCAGTGCAGTAGGTAAAAGGGTTCAGGAAATCAAAGACATTGTCTCAGAGGATTTAAATGGCAATGACATTCACTCCACTTTTGTTTGCCGTCTTTGATGCAAACCCACTGCGCTGACTGCTCAATTTAAGGAGGACTGCAGAAATACTGCTTTTTCAAAAGGTTTTTAATTATTGGCAGCAATGTTTAGATAATCACATTACAGGTGGTAAAATGACTGGATGCTACCAAGCAATGGTTCAGCTATCATCACTTCCTTGCTAATAGGTTCCTATATCACACCAAGTTTCAGCAGCCAACTGGGTAGAGTTGCTTGCCCCCCCTGCTCTTCTTCCCCAGAGTAGCAACAGGTTAGGAATCAGCACCGGGATGTAAATAGCTGGAGTACTAGGTGGCGGGCTGGCACCTCCAGTTCCCTAACATTCATGCTCAAGCATAAGCTCACACAGATACTAACTGCATCATGAGGCCCTTTAAATTATTAAACGAACAAGTAAAACACTGCCAGAGGGGTTTGAAATCAGCTACTGGCTTCATGTAAATGACCTTCAGACCTTTAAAATGATCTATTCTTTACAGCCCTAAGCTCATTTTTAAAGTCTTTCCCGTTCTGTTTTAAATCACCTTGCTGAGTTAAACACTAAGGAAGGCCGAGTTTTTTTGTTGTTGTTTTATTTATTTTTCATGTCAGTCCATTACAATGTGCAGCCAGTAAACAAATACCCAGCTTTGGAGAAGGCTCCTCCAATGACATCTTCACAAAGCAGAGCTGTTTTCTAACAAGGTTTCCAAGTTTTCTGCCCACTGACCCTGCAGCAACCAAACAGCAAACACGCTGCTTTCATGAGGCAGCTGAGCTTTCAAAGCAGACTCTCCTAGTTTAACAAGTACCTGCTTCTGAAGGGAAGTATCAGTACCACCAGCATCAACCTAAAAGGGCAGCCCCATAAGCAGCAGCCCCCCAACTCAGAGCTCCTGCCCAGCCGTGCACTTTGCAAGGTTGCTTCAAACAGGACTTTTCCTCCAAGAATCGATTCTTTTGAGCTGCCCCACACCCCTTTGCTCAGTGGCTTTACCTCAGGCAAGGCCTACTTTTTCCCCTCTTTGAACCCAAGGATGACAACAGCCACTAGAATAAATAACAACATCCTAACCCAGGGCACACAGGAAAAAACAAGCCACCAGGGAGCTGTAGGGCTAGGCTGTAGGGCTAATCCACACTACCTGTTCGTAGACAAATTAACAGGCAAACTAGTTCAGATGGTTTCTCTCACCATGCGCTAGCAGCACACGCACTCACATACTCAGTGTTATCAGCTAGCAGGAGACCACAGTTACCTGACCAAGCATTTCAGAGAAAAAAAAAATAAAAGCACAATTTCTCAGCTCTTTTCATTTTAATTTTTCTAAGAACCCCGATGGAACACTTAAGCGGGCAAAAAGTTGAAATGAAGTGTACATCAGGAAAATATGCCTCTCTCATGTGTGTTTCCATCACTGAAAGCCCTTACGCATACAGCAGAATTAAGAATTGAAGTAATGAGTGAGAACATAACCTGCTACAGGATTAAGTTCCCTCAGGATTTTAGCAGACTTGTGTTTGTTTTTTTTAATTTTTCCATTGGACTTTTCATGCATTGTATTTTTGATACCAACTTATCAAGAGATTTTCCAAG